GTTAAGACTAACACAAGTTTTAACAAACACATCAAACGCTCTAAGCAAGTGGTGATTCCCATCAACACCCTCCAACAGTGACTCAAACAAGTCATGGATTTCAAATGAAGGGTATTGTTTTGAAAGAGCAATGAGATCTAGGAACAGAGAATCCAACCTCCTATCCAAGCCCCAGTAGCACAAGATCCTGACGATAGCAACATAGGTTGAGATGTTGTGAGTGAGCCCTTGTTGCTTGACTTGAGTGAAAAAAGAAAGTGCAAGAGCAGGGTGATTGTGCAATCGGTTCAGTGTTTGAAGCACATAGAAAGTGTGTAGCTTAGGGAAAAGCGTGTTATTGGTACAAGATGAAGATGATTCTTCTTCAGTTTCACTGTCTGAGAAAGTGGGTGAATTGAAGTGGGCAAGTGCAGTGGATGCAAACCTTAGATAGTGTTTGGTTCGGGAGAAATTTTTTTTTACTAAGGAAATGTAATTGAGAGGGAAATGGTTGGAAAGTGAGTTTGGTAGGAAAATGTAAAAAAAGTTGTTTGGTTGACCGAAATATTACCAGAGAAATTTATTTAAATATGCAAAATCTATGTTCGGGAGAAACTTTGCACCTGTTTTTTCACTTCCCCAATTATCTCAAAATACCACATCTCAAGTGGTATTCTGTAACAGTGAATTTCATCCAAAAATCAACACAAAAGTCATTTTCCTATCTATCCTATTTGCCTAGTATTTTTTGAAAAAACCTGAACCAAATGTGGTATTTTCAATATCTACTTACACTTTCCCATCAATCCCAAAATAAACCTTCAACCAAACACTACAGGTGTGTGGTTTTGGAGAACCACTTGATGGGAAGTTTGAATCCATGCCATATGGAAATTGAGAAAAAGGCTTATACTCACATAGAAACTGCAAGAATGCAATAGGTAGAAGTTATATGTTAATATAAACCACTTGATGATTGCTCTTATATAAGCCGTGTCCTAGAGTTAAGACTAAGGTATGATAATAGCTTCAATAAGGAAAATTAAACTTCACTTTAAAGATTGCATAGTTGCAGACAAAGAAATACTAAAGTAACACTTTTAACGTAAAAACATGATGTTTACCATAACTTTGATTATACTTGTATTGGAGAAAGATGTTACACCGTTACATCCTGTTTATGCATTAGTTGTATCGTGCAATCCGAGAGTGACGTACCATCCCTCAAAACTATTTTATTTCATTAGACCAAATTGTTGCAATATGATAATAGAATTTTATATTATCATATAGTTATAATGTAATAAATATAATTGAGATATCTTACATAAGCAAATATAGGTATATGAGAAGCTCGTATAGGTATATGAGAAGGGAGATTAACCCCACAGCTGAACAGTTGACGCACTGTCCACTACAAGGCTAGTAACTCATAGTAACTCATTAACATTCAAATTAATGAGTTTATATCGGCTAAACCACTCTTTCAAATTAACTTTCAAGCCAGAAACAATCTCAAAGAACTGGAGAATGTAGAGAGAACATTCACAAAAACTATCTCTATCATCCTCCAAAATGAAAGAGTGTCACTTCAAACAGAAGATAGAGAATCCGTAATTCCTTGTGCACCGAAAAGAGGCAAATCAATTATGGTGATCACAAGCCACCTCTTCCACTTAGTTAAATTAATTCATTAAATTATAGAATCAGTTATATTAAATTTTAAATAATAAAAATTACACTTAAGATCCATCACTTATGTTGTTGAGATATATAGTTCCACATTGGTTGTATGTGCAACTAATATGAAGTTTATAAGGCCTTGGGCACTTCCACCCTTTAAGTTAGCTTTTGGGGAGGTGTATTCCAAGGTTCTTTACATAGTATCAGAGCCTCACCGTCTCCCACTTTAAAGTGGAATTTAAATAAAAAGCACAAAAAGGTAAACAAAAAATAGGCCTGTGCAATTTCCACGCTTTTAGCCTAAAGGGCTCTTGCGTGAGGGAGCGTGTTGAGATATATAGTCCCACATTGATTGGATGGGCAACTAATGTGGCCTTTATAAGGTCTTGAGCACTCCCATCCTTTGAGCTAGCTTTTGGGTGGTGACCTCAAGGTTCTTAACATGCTCTTGCGTGAGGGAGCGTGTTGAGATATATAGTCCCATATTGGTTGTATGTGCAACTAATATGGAGTTTATAAGGCCTTTGGCACTCCCACCCTTTGAGCTAGCTTTTGAGGCGGTGTATTCCAAGATTCTTTACATATGTTGTGGGTTCTATGGTGGTGGCTAGATGGGTGGGTGAAGCTTTATGTTGAGAAACTTCAATGCAAAATTGAAGGTTTTGCATTAAGGGCCCGTCACTAAGGAAAGTTGGAGAAGACTTGGAAAAGATGATGGCAAGACTGACATCATTTTATATTTAGAATGCCTATTTCTCTTGGCTCTTAATTCATCAATACTAGTAGACTTAAGGGTTTCATTTTTGCTAGGGAAGTTTGTCTCAAATTTCTTCTCCCTCTTTCTCTTTTTATGTCTAACGGAATCCTTCTCTTGGGAATCTGAACTTTTGGGCTTCGTCCACTCTGGCCTACAAAGAAAGAAAAAGAGAGAAAAGAAGGACTCTAATTAAGCTTCCAGGAAATAATAAATCAACTTGCGATCATCTTTTTCATAAGCAATTAAATCATACCCTTGGTAGATGAATCTTCAGGCATATTTTCTGCATCATTAATGACCATATTGTAGCAACTAGCAAGGGAGGGTATGTGGACGGCCTTATATACATTATAACCTGTTTAAACAAAAATTTAAACAGGTTATTGTTTTAGTTGTAGATATATCATATAATTTTCTATTAAATTAAACAGGTTAGATTAATTCATTGCTTATATATGCGCTATGTTGTCACACTTTCAGTGAAAGGACTCTACTTCCAAAATTATTGCTACTGTCACAATTGATCTCACCAACTACAAGCAAGCTACACACACACATATCATATTATACACCAAATTTATTAATTATATTCATCAAGCTATTGGTTTTGATATGCTCTTGTGAATAGGGATATGTTCTGATTTTTTTTAATAATTGTATTTGATTTAATGTATAGAAACTGAAAAATATGATGGAGTATGTGAATAGGACTATAAATGTAGATGATGAAGTTGTTTCTGAAACTCCTCTTGAAATGTCTGGAAGTGTTGAGACAATTAGGAGAGAAATATCTATTGTTTGGAAGTTCCGTTGATTCATGGAATAAGAATAGGACTAGAGTTTCAATGAGAGAGTTTATTGCTTTTAGAATTTGAGGGAGTTTAAAAATGTAAATTTTGCAAACAAAACAATCATGAAATGCTTCATCAAAAAATTAATCAGTTTGATATGAAATTAATTGTGATTCATATCAATTAAGATTAAAATATTAGATTGATACTAATTAATTGATACAAATCTAATTATTTTGTCAATGGATTGTCTTAACCACAAAAGAAGATTATTTCAACGTATAAAAAGAAGAAGAAGATTATTTCAACAATGCATAATTGCAAATAAAGATTCATTAAAAATGAAAATAATGCACAAATCCAATAATAAAAGTAGGAAATGAACTATATTCAATTTTTAGATTATAGGAAGGAAATTTCGACTATACTATGTGCTTTACATAGTCAAAATGTATGCTAAATTCCTTATTGTTAAAAGCGTACTTTGAGGAGTGTATAGTCAAATTGAGGCTAAAGCTAGTTGCTTAGCACTTTGTGCATTTCAGTCTCACTAGGGCGTTTCCATATTGCCAATAGCACGGGGGCATCATTGTATGAATTTAGTAGCAATGTGAGTAAACCTTCCCTGGTAAGTGGTATGTGATTCTTTGATGTGGTAATCTTTAACTCAAGTTCACAGTCTTTAAAGTGAACAACTTTTTCGTCTTCGTTGACCTCTAAATCCCTAAACATCCCTGCTTCGTTTGCTTGTTTAATTATTGTATGAATCTTATTGTTCATGTTTTACATTTAACGAATACAATCTTCTTGTAATGAATAAAAGAGTTAAGGATGCATGATAGCCAAAAGAAGAAGTTAAATGTTCATCATTTCTTTTTTTCTCCGTTTTAAGGTCATGCCAAATTGATTTTTGACGTCAAAATTCTATCATTATTTACAGTAACTTTAATGAAAACTTTTCAATAAAATTTATATTAAAATTTATCCTTTAAATTTTCACTCTAGTTGATTATAATCTTGTTTGATATATATTAAAGAATAATACAAACATAACTGAAAAAAATGTTTGCCTTTTTAAATAACATAACTTATGTCATTTCACTATCACAAAGAGGTGGAATTCATATTTTTTTGGGTCCATTTTCTTTTGCATGATCTATTTCTTTCTCTCACTTAAAATAATATAATTTTGACACATATTTTTTTCGGTATAATTATGCAGCATAAGTGACAATGATTGAGTTATAAGATGTTGTTAGGTGTTTGATGTGTAATAGATATGCATAATGATTTTGTGATATATATAAATAAAATATAATAAAAATTATACTTTTTATGTAATAAATTATTTTGCTTGTAATAAAGTCAAAATAATAAAAGGATATAACTTATTTGTCTTTTCTTTTCTTTTTTAAATAATATCTTTTTTCTCTTTTTATGTTGTACATAATAATTTATTACTTGATTTAGTTTTTTTTTTTTTTAATTTATACTTTTTTTAATCATTTCTCCAATTACTTTTTATTTAATTATCCTATTTAAATAATGAATAATCAAATAACATCTCTCAGTATATCAGAGCGCATCAAATTGATTTTTATTTTTATTTTTACTTTGGGTAATTATAACAAATTGATTTCCGGGTTAGACTGATTCATCGTAAATCCAAGTCTTATAAACCTTTAGCCTTAAACCCAAACAAGTTTTATGTGTTTCAATTCATTTTTCAGTGGTGGCACGCTAAAGAAACCTGAAAACCCTTTCAATTCATTCCCAGAGGAACTGTAGAGATGAATAGGTCGAGAGCCGAAGGTGTAACCTTCACTAAAGAACCCTACATCGAGGATGCAGGGCCACGCCGAGTGTGAGTGTATATATATATATATATATATAACCTACTTTCTCATCATCATCATCATCACACATTGTTTTTGATTCACTTGCGAATAAAAAAAAATGGATTGTTACTTTGTTGTTTGTTTATTGCAGAAAGAACATGCAGTTTTCCACGTTATCAGAGTCAGAAGTCGGCAAAATTGGTGAAGTTCAAGTGTGGAGATGTAATTATTATGATTCATTTAAAAAGCCCGTTCATGGTGGCTTATTGGATCCTCGCATGGTACCTTTTATATTCCTATTTCTACGCTTTTTGAGTTTGCAACTTGTGCAGTTCGGCTTCTAAAATTTTCTCTTTTTTTTTTTTGTTGCATTTGGGATATAGGATGTTAAATCAACCTGATAATGTTTGTTTTGTGTATTGGGCCTGGGTTGAATTTGGAGTTGTTTACAATTTTGAACTGCAATGCACTATTTATGGGATATTTGGTTTTTGTTTGTTGGGTTTATGATGAGATGGTAGATGTAGCAGTCATATATTAGGATATATTTCCTTTGTGTCTGGGTGTACTATATGGATGAAGCAATTGCCTGTTCAATTTGGTAACAGGTTTTATAGATTATGACTTATTGGACATGTGCTTATATATGAGGCAATGCTTATTAAGTGGAACTACCAAGTTTGTTGTTTGAACTTTGAAGTCAAATTTATTCATGAAAGGAAGCTCCATAAGGCATATATGTATATAAACATGTGTATGCATGTGCGTGCAAGTCCGTGCTTTGTATTCTTTAGATTTTTTCATTGTTTTATGAAGTATAACATGTATGGTTTATCCTGCTCCCTTTTTGGGCGTGTTTTTACTTTGACAGTTGGTGTGTTCTTCCTGCATTGTACTTTGTTTCGCAAGAAAGAGTGACACATATAGGAAGAGAGACACACATGACACATCTTAATTTATCCTCACACTATAAACTGCTATCCAGTTAACACATTACCCGAAGTTACTGAGTTCTTTTGATATTGGTAGTTTATTTTTTATTTGAGAATTAAAACACACATTTTAGTGTTTTGCACGTGAAATCCATTTAATAGGTTTGCTGGTTTAAGAAGTCTTACATTTAAACCTTCGTAAGTAAAGCTTTTGTCAGACTTGAGGTTTTTTTTTTCTGTTAAGGAAGTCAGGTTGATGAAATACACAATTGGATGATATTACTTGTTTGAACTTTTAATCTGTTTGATCATATATTTTTCTTTCCTAATGCTCATGCCTTTCCCTTTATAAAATGCTAATGTAGCAATCTTTTTCATTGAATTCAGGGCCCTGCTAATAAAAGTCTTGAATGTGCAACATGCCATGGGAGCTTTCTTGACTGTCCAGGGCACTATGGATACTTAAACCTTGCCCTTCCTGTTTTCAATGTTGGATATTTAAGTACCATTGTGGAAATACTGAAGTGTATATGTAAGGTATTTGAATTGTTACGAGTTCTTTATCTACTTTCTCTCTCTGGATTTTGTTTTTTCCTTTATTTCCCAAGGCTCATCAATATGCACAATACCATCTACAAATAGCACACCAAGGCACCTCTTCTTGGATATCTCTTGTTTGCTCATCCATAACTAGGGAGAAAGGATAAGGACTCGAAGTAAAACCTTGGTATCAACCTACTATTATTAGATAATAGCTTGATGTGCCATTACTTGAAAAAGTAAGGTTATAATATGTACAAAACTCATGTTATAATGCATAAAAATCCATTTGCAAATTTGCATGTCATACTCATTACTAATGGACATTCTATTTTACTCAATCAATTTTTTTTCTTCGTTACAGTTATCTGACATAAATTTTGTATATATAATATAGCATGCTTTTAAATATGTATTTGAATTAATTTTGTGTTTCTTAGTGTTCTACTTGAATTATATGTTGTAAAGAACCAATTCAACCCAAAAGCTTAAGCTGTTGGGTAAAGTTACATCAATGGTTTTATATATCTCAACACGCCCCGTCACACGAGAGCCCATTGGGTTTGAAGGGTTGACAATGCACAGGCCACCTACCTATGCGAAGAAAGAAGTTCCACTAGAAAGAAAATGGGGGGCGGTGAGGATCGAACTCGGTACACCGAGGCTCTGATACCATGTAAAGAACCAATTCAACCCAAAAGCTTAAGCTGTTGGGTGAGGTTACATTAATGATTTTATATATCTCAACACGCCCCCTCAAACGAGAGCCCATTGGGCTTGAAGGGTGGACAATGCACAGGTCCACCTACCTGTGCGAACAAAGAAATTCCACTTGAAAGAAAGTGGGGGGCGACGAGGATCGAACCCGGGACACGAGGCTCTGATACCATGTAAAGAACCAATTCAACCCAAAAGCTTAAGTTGTTGGGTAAAGTTACATTAATGGTTTTATATATCTCAACATATGTTATTGTTTGGTGTTTTTTCCAGGGCTGTGCTCGTATTCTCCTTAATGAAGATACCTGTAAAAAATATTTGAAGAAAATAAGAAATCCCAAAATGGATGAATTGCAGAAGATTGAGTTCGTGAAAGAGTCTATAATAAAAAATTGTAACAAAGCCGGGAAGTGCCCAAGATGCGGATATATCAATGGTTTGTTTTTTGCTTTATTCAAACGTCTTCTATTTTAGGGAATGATGTTGCTTCAGGGCACCCATTTTTTTGAACTAATTGTCACCACACATGGCATAAATAAAACATTTTGTCCCCTATTCAATAGAAAATACCATCTTGTTCCACGAGTGGAAATATTTGCATGAATTGCCAACCATTATAGGAGTAAGGGTTAAATATGATTGCCTTGCTTCATGCATGTTAAGATATGTGCTTTTTGTGTCTGTATGGTGATATTGGTGATGACTATTGTCATACAGGTTCAGTAAAGAAGGTTGCATCTACGCTAAGCATCATTCATGATTGCTCAAAATGTAACAATGATAGTGTTGAAGAGCTCCAATCAGCACTTTCTCATATAAGAGAGGCTAGAGCAACCAACAACTTGACTGCTCGAATTCTCGATCCTTTCCAAGTTCTTTCCCTGTTTAAAAGGATGCTTGACAAGGTGGATATTTATATTATGTGGATGTTTTCTTGTTGTTTTTCGGGTTTGATTTTCCTTCTCTTTCCCTTTTTAAAGATGGAAGACATCATGAATGCCATGTAGAGGTTTACTTTTCTCTCAAGTTGAACATTTTTATTGTAGGACTGTGAATTACTTTATGTTGCTGAAAGACCAGAGAAACTCATCATAACAAACATTGTTGTGCCACCTGTTGCTATTCGACCTTCAGTTATAATGGATGGATCACTGAGGTAATTCCAGTTTGGTTGCATTTGTGTATCTGTTTTTTTCCTTTGTCAACATTTTTTGATGAGTTTGGGTTGGAGGGTTAGGCCGAGGAAAATTATACTTTTTTATGAGAGGAGAAATATGAATGCTCCTAGAAGTAAGGAGGAAACAGTAGTGGGAGAGTGGAACAGAATGTACATGTGGCAGCAAGGTACTGGAGTGGAGAATTGTGCAATGATGGGAGAGGAAAGGAAACATGAATAAGGAGGGGGTGGAAAATAGTGGAGAGGCATAAAAGAATAGTGGAGAGATTTGGTGACTTAGGTCAGGGAGGGAAGAGTCTGTGTATCAGCTCTCATAGTTATCTCTCATTGTTGCCTTTTCTACGTTTCCTCTGTTTAGTATGTTTTTCTGTTTATTGAGCAGTATTCCTCCCATGTAAAGGAGATCTCCTTGTTCTATCCTATTTTCGGTATTCATCAGTCCTTATCAAGTGGGTATTAGAGTTTCCAATCCTTAGAGCCTCTGGATGGTGTTGACACACTTGGAGAGCCACTCGAAAGCATTGGATAGAGGATGGACAGAATTTCTGGCCTGATCTAGGAGAATATTAATCGAAGTTTTTGGTGTTGATGATGACACAGAAGATTGTGGTAGTCGTTTGAAATTTAAGGTTGAGTTTGGAAGGGGAAGGTAGCAATAGGTGCACCAGGAACAGAGGCGTGGGGTCCATTGACATTCAGGAGGTGCAAAGAGAGGAGAGGATGCATTTGCTAGAGGTGCCATATTTTAAGGGCAATGACCTACATGGTTGGTTGTACCGTATTGGACAGTACTTTGAGATCAGTCAGATCTCAGAGGTGGAGAAGGTGTCTGTGGCAGTGGTTTGTTTGGACAAGGGGAAACTGATAGGGGAGGGTATTGGCGGGCCTTTGAAACATGCACATAAAAGAAGAAAAGAAGAGTGAGCTTGAGTGTTTTGGGCCTAGGGAAATTATACGTGTTTATGAGATGAGAAATAGGAATGCTGCTAGTAGTAAGGGCAAAACAATAGTGGACAGTGTAGCAGAATGTACACGTGGCAGCAAGGTATTGGGAAGGAGCATTTTGCAATGATTGGACGGTAAAGGAAATGTGAACAGGAGGTGTTGGGAAATAGTGGAGTGGCATAACATAATTTTAGAGAGAATTGGTGGCTTAGGCCAGGGAAGGTAGAGTCTGTATATCTGCTTTGATTGTTATCTCTTATTGCTGCATTTTTTTGCATTTCTTCTGTTCAGTATGTGTTTCTGTTAATGGAGCAGTATTTTTCCCCTGTAGAAGAAATTGCCCTTTTGAGTAGTATAATATTTCCAGTATTAATTCCAGTCCCTATCAATCGTATTCTTCAATGGAAAATTGATGTAAAGGTGTTGTCGACTTGTGCTCTCTTTGTAAGCATTAGAAATATAAAAAAATTGAATTGTTCATGGAAACCCACCTAACAGCTTATGGTTGTAGGAGAATTGGTCCTTGGCAAGTTTGTAGGAGTGTAGGTTCTTGGCAAGGTATTAAAGCCTCTATGATCAAATGATTAGGAGTCCAATCATTGCTGACCCCATCTTTCTTGAACAAATTAAATTTCAAAATAAAGACATAAAAAGCTTACCTCAACTAGTTTGGAATAAAGGTGATGTTAATGTTGATAAAGAAGTAAAAAGGGTCTATGCATTGTTTGGGATAGGATTATTTTTTGTGCTTCCATCTTGGATGCACATGGTGTTCTAAAACTGTTTTCTTTGGTGCACATTTTGAGGGACTGCAGATCTCTTATAAGCTGATGGTTGTATTTTCTATTGTTTCTTTTGTCCCCCCTTTCTTTTGTTTTTAGGAGGCTTTCTGATCCCCTGCCCTGTTTGTATATATTACATGAAAATTAGAATTCAAACATGTTTCCGTTTTTATTTCCTATTAATTAGGATTGATTATGATTGATTATGATTGATTATGATTGATTAGGATTAATTGTGATTGATTAGAATTGATTGTGATTAGGATTGTGATAGGATTGATTAGTCATCGCTTAGTCATTCTTAGCGATTCTTTCTTGTATAAATACTCACTCATGTAATTTATTCAATATCAATATACAAAAACTTCTTTTCAATATGGTATCAGAGCGGGTTCGTTCCTACCCTAATTCAAATCTGAAATAACCATCCAAACACTTCCATCACCGTCAAACACCTCCTAAACACCGCCTTGAATCTGTCCAACACAGAAACCTAGTTTACTGACCTCCGATCAAAAAAGTGAGGTGACCATTCGACTCAGAAGGATCCGACGAGTCGACCGCCGCTGGACCCATCGCCGTCAGCCGCTGCACGCGCCACCACGCGCCGCCTTCCAGACGTTTTTTTTCCGTCGCGACTTGCACAGACCTTCTCGCCGGCTTCTCCCCTTCCTGTTCCAGAGGTCAGATCAAAAGTTTACAAAACTTGATTTTTCATCAACGGTCAACCCTTCTCTTTTTATTCATGGCTTCCTCAAAACACTCTTTTTATTACCACGAGCAACCTCCTAAGGCCACTAGTCATGTGGTCCAGCAAGGTACAACTTTCCATGTTGATAGTCAAAATCATTGGATCCTTGATTCTGGAGCCTCTGATCATATGACAGGTAATCTTGGCTTGTTTTGTTCATACACTCCATATTCTGAACCTTCTCGGGTCAAGATCGCCGATGGCAGTTTTTCCCAGATTGCGGGACACGGAACCATTAAACTTTCTGAGCTGATTACTTTGACATCAGTTCTTTATGTTCCTTCTCTGACTTGTAATCTCATTTCCATTAGCAAGCTCACCTCTGAGTTGCATTGCTTTGCTAAATTCTTTCCACATGGTTGTGTTTTTCAGGAACAGGACTCGGAGAGGATGATTGGCAGTGCTAGAGAGGATGGTGGACTTTACTACTTTGAGGAGGATGTGACTCATGAAGCTGTTTTCGTAGAAAAAAACTCTATGTTTCCTTTTGATTCATGTAATGATGTTATGCTGTGGCATCGTAGGCTAGGCCATCCAAATTTTATTTATCTTCAGAAGTTGTTGCCAAACTTATTTATTAATAAAAGTCCAAGTTTGTTTTCTTGTGATATTTGTCAACTTGCCAAGCATACTCGTGCTCATTATCCTTCTAAAGTTCACCATGACTCTTCCCCATTTTCCTTAATTCATAGCGACATATGGGGTCCAGCCCGTGTTAAAAATATTTCAGGTACTCGATGGTTCATTACCTTCATTGATGACCATTCTCGAGTTTGTTGGGTGTATCTTCTAAAGGATAAGTCCGATGCTGCATCCGTGTTTAAAAAATTTCATGCCATGGTTCAAACCCAATTCCAAGTTGCTATACAAATTCTTCGTACAGATAATGGCAAAGAGTATTTTAACTCTATTCTTGGAGAATATCTTTCCCAACATGGCATCCTTCACCAAAGCTCGTGTCCTGACACACCCCAACAAAACGGAGTTGCGGAAAGAAAAAACCGACATCTCCTTGAAGTTGCTCGGGCTCTTATGTTTACCACGAGTGTTCCTAAATATCTTTGGGGAGAGGCAGTTCTCACTGCCTCGTATCTGATAAATCGAATGCCATCTCGCATTCTGAAATTTCAGTCTCCTCTTTCTAGTCTTGTTCGTATCTTCCCTTCCTTCCGAGGTGTCTCCTCCTTACCTCTCAAGTTATTTGGTTGTGTTGTATTTGTCCATATTCCCTCCCATCAACGGTCTAAGCTTGATCCTAAGTCTCTCCAGTGTGTCTTTATTGGTTATTCTCCTACTCAACGTGGCTATAAGTGTTATTCACCCTCTCTTCGTAAGGTCTTTGTCTCTATGGATGTCACTTTTTCTGAGAATGACCCTTTCTTCCCCTCGACTTCTCTTCAGGGGGAGTCTATAGGAGTAGATGAAGATCAGTCATGGGAACCTATTAATGCCACAGTATTACCTCTACTTTTGGAAACAGGGGGAGCTACATAATCCTCACCATCAGGAGCCTCCTCAACATGGGGACAAGTTTATAGCAGGCGAAAGCCTCCTCAAAGTGTGAATAACCCAGAGCCTCTACACTGCCAGGATACTGAACCATGTTCTAGTTCCAGCACCCCAATACTTGAGTGTCATGGTGAAAATGATCTACACTTGCCCATTGCTCTCAGAAAAGGTACTCGATCTTGTACTACTCATCCTATTTCTAATCATATTTCATATGGAAAGTTGTCCCCAGGGTTTCGTGCTTTCAATACTATGTTGGATAGTACAAAGATACCAAGAAATATACATGAGGCTCTCAATGATAAAAAATGGAGGGATGCTGTCTTTGAAGAAATGAATGCTTTAGAAAGAAATGGAACTTGGGAGATAGTGACCCTACCCAAAGGAAAAAAGGCAGTAGGATGCAAATGGGTGTTTACAATAAAATTCAATGCAGATAATAGCATCAACAGATACAAGGCAAGATTGGTTGCAAAGGGTTTCACTCAGACTCATGGGATAGATTATCATGAGACTTTTGCTCCGGTTGCTAAAGTCAATACCATCCGAGTTCTCTTATCTCTTGCTGCCAATCTAGATTGGCCTCTGCAACAGTTAGATGTGAAGAATGCATTCCTAAATGGTGACTTACATGAAGAAGTCTATATGGATCCTCCACCTGGTTTTGAAAGGGGAAATGAATCAGTGTGTAAACTAAAAAAGTCTCTATATGGATTGAAACAGTCTCCCAGAGAATGGTTCGACAAATTCACACAAGCAGTCAAAAGAAGAGGCTTCATTCAAGCACAGACTGATCATACTCTCTTCCACAAACACTCTAAGGATGGTAAAATTGCTATTCTTATTGTATATGTAGATGATATAATTCTTACAGGTGATGATATTGAGGAATTGAACACCTTGAAGAAATTTCTAGCAGCTCAATTTGAACTCAAAGACCTTGGCACTCTCAAATATTTCCTTGGTATGGAAGTTGCTAGGAGCAAAACAGGCATCACTCTAACACAAAAGAAATATGTTCTAGATCTTTTGTTGGAAACAGGAATGTTAGGGTGTAAACCTGCTGAGACACCTGTGGAACCTAATACCAAGTTAGGTATTGAAGATGGGAATGAGGTGGATAAAGAACAATATCAGCGATTGGTTGGTAAACTAATCTACTTATCTCATACGCGTCCTGACATTGCCTTTGCGGTGAGTATGATTAGTCAATTCATGCACTCACCCAAGGAGAAGCATCTTAGTGCAGTCTATAGGGTGCTTAGATACCTCAAGAATACTCCAGGAAGAGGATTATTCTTTAAAAAGGGGTATAAAAGGACAATTGAAATCTACACTGATGCAGATTGGGCAGGCTCATCAGTAGACAGAAGATCTACCTCAGGCTATTGCACCTATGTGTGGGGAAATCTTGTTACTTGGAGAAGCAAAAAGCAAACAGTGGTTGCAAGAAGTAGTGCTGAAGCAGAATTTCGAGCTTTAGCTCATGGAGTTTGTGAAGGAATCTGGTTAAGAAGACTTCTTCAAGAGTTGAAGATTTCATATTCCCTACCAATAAAACTATATTGTGACAACAAGGCAGCTGTTAGCATTGCTCAAAATCCTGTGCATCATGATCGAACAAAGCACGTGGAAGTTGATCGTCACTTCATCAAAGAAAAATTAGATGATGGAAGTGTGCATTTGATATATGTTCCAACCAAAGAGCAAACGGCAGATGTCCTTACCAAGGGCCTACACCGTCCAGCATTCGAAGACTTGATTGGCAAGTTGGGAATGATCAATATTTACCTCCCAACTTGAGGGGGAGTGTAGAAAATTAGAATTCAAACATGTTTCCGTTTTTATTTCCTATTAATTAGGATTGATTATGATTGATTAGGATTGATTATGATTGATTAGGATTAATTGTGATTGATTAGAATTGATTGTGATTAGGATTGTGATAGGATTGATTAGTCATCGCTTAGTCATTCTTAGCGATTCTTTCTTGTATAAATACTCACTCATGTAATTTATTCAATATCAATATACAAAAACTTCTTTTCAATACAAAAAATAGAATTTCTTTTCATTTTTTGTGTATTTGGATGCATCTTTTGAAAAAAAAGCATTAGTAAAAAAAAGAAGCTAAAAATGTGTATGTATTTTTTAATCCAAGATTCCTGGCTTCTGAAAAAAGCAAAAGCCAATGCAATCCCTCTAAAATTCATTTTTTCCCTCAACACAAAACCCAAGCATGTATTTTTTTCACTTTAACATGTCCTTTTACTAATTTAAACGTAAAAGTGCTTTTTTAATTTAGTATGTAAACAAATTTTTTGTTTTAAAAAGTGCTTTTCAGATAGTACAAAGCTTTGGCTTTTTAAGAAAGTCATTCTAACAATAATGCACAAAAATTCATTTTTTTCAAAAGCTCATCCAAATGGACTCTAGTTCCTGTTTGGGCATAGGCATTTGCCTATGCTTCCAGCCTTAGCCATGTTTCATGGTTGATTCATTGATGTTTTTATTTATATAAAATTTGTTAAAACTCGTATAATATTGAGGCTGGCTCTTGTATAATACTATACCATAAAATTTATTCCTACTGTAATGTTAATTTGAATTATATGCTGTCTAGAGGTTATTTTGCAGTTTGCCTGGGATCGTTTACATTTATATGCTCTCTTTTAAGTTTTTGTTTTGTCATGAGATCGTTTCTTTTGGTTCTAGGATGTAATTGTGTTGATGATTTTGGTTTAGGATGGTTGGGATATGCTTCAACTTGAGGTTGCTCAATTCATAAATAGTGATGTTCGTGTACCGTACTATATGCAACCAACCAGGCCATTGGCTGGTTTTGTTCAGCGCCTTAAAGGGAAGCAGGGACGTTTCCGTGGCAACTTATCTGGTAAACGTGTTGAATATACTGGCAGGACAGTTATTTCACCAGATCCTAATCTGAAGATTTCTGAGGTCAGACATTTAAAGCTTGCCATACTTGTGTACTTTTTGTCCTTTACACGAAGCATATGCCAATAAACTAGAAGATTCTGTTTTCAAGGTTCAAGCTTATGCCTCCTATTTTGTTCATTTGCTTCAGGTTGCAATACCCATCCATATGGCTCGTATATTGACTTATCCTGAGCGTGTTACACATCACAACATAGAGAAGTTGAGACAATGTGTGAGAAATGGTCCTGATAAGTATCCTGGTGCAAGGTTGCTTAGACATGCTGGTCACACATGGTTTGTACTGTTTCATTTTTCCCTATATGGATTAATCTCAAGCCAAATATAATTATTTGTGACTAATCTAGAGTCAATTATTATTTTGCAGGAACTTAAAAATTTCTTCTAGGAAGTGCCGTGCAGATGAACTGAGATTTGGTGATATTGTTGATCGCCATTTGGAAGATGGAGACATTGTTCTTTTCAATAGACAGCCAAGCTTGCATCGGATGTCTATAATGTGTCATCGGGTAATTCATTAAAACTAAAATGTAGGATAATGTCTGATTCGAATCACATTTCATTAATCTCTTTATGCACATGCAGGCAAGGATTATGCCTTGGAGAACTTTGAGATTCAATGAATCTGTATGTAACCCATATAATGCTGACTTTGATGGTGATGAAATGAACCTACATGTCCCACAGACTGAGGAGGCTCGAACAGAAGCTATTTTGTTGATGGGGGTAAAATCATCGGATCCCATTGTCATTTAGGATTGCATGTTGACTATTATAATGCTTTTAGATCCAAATCTTACTGTGCAACTTTTTTTTATCCAAAAAGAATTTCATAATGCATCCATCTGCAATGATCTTCTGATTGCTCCGGTGGAGGGTTCCAATTCAATTATCTGTCTCCTTCGTGTTGCCAATCTAGCTGTTTCTTCTTCCATGTTTTTCATGATTTCTGCAGTATTTTCCATGTACGGCTTTCCCACAAGTCATTTTTTAAAGGAATTATTCCCGTCACTGTAATTTGTGATGCTAAATTTGAAAATTACCATGCTTGGTAAGTACTGATATGCATGGAATACATGTTTTGTGCCATGAGATAATAGTGCCACCATGATATTAATTTCATAAACGGAGAAGTTTATTCATGATTTTACTCTAGATGCCTTGTTTTATCCTTCCTACTTCTATTTTCATTCGCTATGATTCAAAACAGCTTGTTTTATACCTTGTTTTGACCATGCTAGGAACATGTTTGGTTTTGCTTGCTCCAAACATTTTTCAGCTAAATGCTCCCTCTGCAACATTTTGATTATAAGCTTTTTTAAACAAAATAAGCTAATCCCTACATTCGGTAGGATTGGAAGATTTTTGTTAAAAATGGTTCATCTATCATTATTACATCTTTAAATAGTGTGATTTGTTCAGTTGAGTTTGAGTGTATGATGCTCAATAGTTGTAACTTTGTAAGCATTTAAAGAACTTTACAATCTGTTATTACTGATATTTTGCTTGTTTTCAGGTGCAAAACAACTTATGCACACCTAAAAATGGCGAAATTCTAGTTGCCTCTACTCAAGACTTTTTAACCACTTCCTTTCTCATAACTAGGAAAGATAATTTTTATGACCGTTCTACTTTTTCACTTATTTGCTCATACATGGGGGATGGCATGGATATTGTTGATCTGCCAACTCCTGCAATTATTAAGGTGAGATTCGGTGCTTATAAATTTGACATCCACAAGATAGACTCACATCTTTATTATAAATATATATATATAAGGCTTATCGTTTCTTAAGCTGCTTGAGATAACTTTATTTGCTAAATCATAACCGTATAAAGATGGATCAATGGTGATAAAGGGAGAGAGAGAAAAAGAGAATCATAACCATTTAAAGGTGAATCAATTAATATAAGGAAATAAATAAACAAAACGACGTAGGATGAGTGTGAATTATCTTTTATGGATGTCAGTCATAACCATTCAAAGCAGTTTGAGAAATATTTTTCTCATATATATATATATATATATATATATATATATCTTGTTTTTATGGATAGATAGATAGGTAGGATGGGTGTGAGCATATCCATTTCTGGCTTTTATATCAACATTATCTTTTTGTGCCATGCATAAATTTGTGGCTTGGTTGAATTCTCCACCGTTGATGTAATATTATAAGCTGCATGAATTTGTCCCAGTGATTCAATCATGTTTGCTAATTTATACTGTCAGTGTATATATTTTATTATTGCAATTATCTTTGCAGCCAGTTGAGCTTTGGAGTGGTAAACAGTTATTTAGCATCTTATTGCGCCCGCATGCAAATGTGAGAGTCTATGTGAATCTTACTGTTACGGAGAAAACATACAGCAGAGAGCTTGATGACAGGAAAAGAAAATTGAAAACAATGTGCCCGAATGATGGTTTTGTTTATTTTCGCAATAGTGAGTTGATCTCTGGACAACTTGGAAAGCTGACTTTAGGTTAGTTATTTTAAATTCGCTTTTAATCTTCATTTATTTCATTTCATATTTGTATGCTCAAAAAGATTGTATAATTGTAGATAAACTTAAAATAAAGATGACTAACTTATATTACATGCATATATTTATCAAGAAACAAAACTACTAAACCTTCTTAAGCTTTCCTATAAGTGGCTTAGTGAAAGTCACAACAATTAGGGAAACTAATAAATGTTGGGGATCTTTTAAACTTTATTTAACCATTGAGTGGTCATTGGGAAAGATACGAAACAAAAGGCAACTTGTCTGTCAAAGCATTATGAGTTGTGGATTGAGAGTGTTTGCCCATTGTTACGGGTGTTGATGTAACAGAGCATCCTCCAAAGGTTTGGAGGGTATATTCCCGTAGGACCACCAAGAAACAATGGTCCGACTTGCCGGATGCACATTGGAGGGAACAAATTCGACTGAAGTTAGGTTGGAGATGCTGGAAAAATTATTTGAATAATTTAGAATCACTGCGAAATATAGCTTCTTGGGGAAGGAAATTTGAGGGAATCGAAGAATTTTGCTTCATTGTCAAATCTTGGATGCAGAAGACAAGGGGAGAAATTTCGGAGCACAGAGATGGCTATAATGGGAACACTACCGATGATGGAGATGGCACCAGCACCAGATCTTCTGATGGCTGTTCTTGGTCTCACAAGGTAGAGCTTCCCAATTTCGAAGTGAAACGAGCCATTAGGTTGGATAACAAGGGTGGAAATTCTTTTTGAACTTCAGGAAACCGTAGTGACAGAAAAGGTTCAGATGGATTTATTTGCATGGAGGGGACTCATTGGTTCTGCTTTTTGAAGAAGAAAACTCCTAACCTTACTTGGGAGGCTCTGACGAAAGCTATAATCCAACGATTTTGGGACAGAACCAGAGCAAGTGTGTATGAACGCCTAACAACCTTGGAGCAGGAAGGTACAATTGATGGTTTAGTCAAAGAATTTGAGGCACTAATTGCTTAAGCCCCAGACATAGACGAAGGATAAATGTTGGGATATTTTTTATTTTTGGAGGGTTGCATCACGAAATTTGCAGCCGTGTGCGCCCCCATGCTTCACAGGACATCCATCGTGCCATTGACATCGCATGCGATATAGAAGACGACCTTCAGTTTTCTGGTTTGAGTTGTGTGAATGTGGTTTGTAGGCCACGTGCCAACCAATGGAGTGGACATTTTGTGGGTTGTGTGATGTTTGTTGTTTCATTCCGGCCTGCAAAACTCTAAAAAAATAATGATAATAAAAAAATAAAATAATAATTCAATCGTAAACAACACTCCAAAATATACAATTTAATCATAAATTATTATAAACAACACTCTAAAAATATTTAAATCAATCATAAATTATCATAAATTACACTAAAAAATATATAAATCGAACATGAATTATCATAAACAACTTTCCAAAAATATATAAATCAATCATGAAATAGTGGTCTAGTTAATTTTTAACACTTTTGCATGCCCTTAATGGCTTATGCTTTTGCACATAAGTTGGTGACCTGCTTTGTTTTGCATGAGCTCAGGAAATGGCAATAAGGATGGACTTTTCTCTGTGCTACTAAGAGACTATAAATCACATGCTGCTGCTTCTTGCATGAATCGTCTAGCTAAATTGAGGTAAATATGTCCACCTAATGGGTGGTAATATTAATGTCTGCCTTATGTTTGATAAAAGCAAAAAATTTTAAATTAAATAAAAAGAAATGCTGTAACCTCAAAGAAATGCTTTCAAAGTAACCCTTGAGGGGTGGCTCAAGTGAGAAGCAAGCTTGAGCTTAGATGTTGAGGTACCTTTGCAATGTCCGTGTTTAGCATCAGGGCGCAAAGTGAGGAATAGTTTCACACTCAAAGGGAGTTGGGAAACCTTGTAAAACAACAAAGAATGCTGTTATAGTATAATTTCTGTTAATAGCTGCATTTATGCATTTTGATGGGATTTAGAAGCTTCAGAAAGTATACGATTCTTTTGCTTGGACGCAGTGCTCGATGGATAGGCAATCATGGGTTCTCGATAGGCGTTGATGATGTCCAACCGAAAGAGATATTGATCAGCAAGAAAGATGAAACAATTTCAGATGGTTATAGGAAGTGTGATGATTTTATAGAAGCTTTCAATAAAGGAAAGCTAGAACTCAAAACTGGTTGTGATGCTGCTCAAACATTAGAGAGTCTTATAACTGGTGTATTAAATGGCTTACGTGATACGGCAGGGAAGGTATCCATTTCTTTTTCCTAAAGTATTCTGTCTTTATGTTTCAGACAAATGTTTGCCCTTCAATAACTTTCTTTGTAATTTTCCCAGGTTTGCATGAGAACCCTACACTGGAGAAATAGTCCATTGATCATGTCGCAGTGTGGCTCCAAAGGATCTCCTATTAATATCAGTCAAATGGTTGCTTGTGTTGGTCAACAGTCAGTTGGAGGTCGTCGTGCTCCTAATGGGTTCATGGATCGGAGCCTTCCTCATTTCCCTAGAAAAGCAAAAACACCTGCTGTATGTTCAGTTCTCATTATTTGGAACTCTATTATGTGATGTTTTTGTCCATATCAATACCTACTCATCCTTAATTCCTTATCTGCTGTTATTTCTACATTTTTTTCCTTTTGAATAACTGATAATATTGTCATAAATAACTTGATAAATAATAGGTGGCTAAGAGGTAGCAATTTTTTTGAAAAAATCATTATTTAACCAGAAAGGCTGCTTAATTCCATTACATTTCTTTCTCCTCCCCTCTCCCCCTAATTCTTTAATAGAAAATAATGAATAGGTCATCAAAAAATTGTTCAACCATTTGGTACAGGGCATCATTATATGCTCTTAGGAACAAAAGTTATCTGGAAAAAATAAAATAAAATCATTGTGCAGCACAAGTGTTAGAATATTAGGGTTATTAAGGTTAGTTCTACATGTATACTTGACCTAATTATTTGTGTAAATAGAAGCATTAGTTTAGTGTATGATATTGCAAGAAAATATCAATCTCATATTGCTCAGATTCTATCTCTTTTCTTCCATTTCTGCTTAAACTCTAACTTCAACAATAAGCATGGATGATGTGAGAAATGACTAAAGGAGCAATTATAGTCTTTGAATAATGAAAAATTGTGTCCATAAAACTTGGGTAATGATGATGCCTAGTGAATAGTTGTGTCAATAGAACTTGGGTTATGCCCATGAAAGTTATACCAGTTACTTAGATTAGTAAATGGGCACAAATATTAAAGTAAAGGTCTAATTGCAATATTTGGCAAAATAGTGTAAGCTTTAAATGAAAATCACACAGATTTATGCACCTGATATGTGAGCAACACGCAGTCACATCACATACACTTAACACAGCTATTTATGTAACGAAAACTGAAACTTGAGAATTGAGAAGCTAAATTTGAAATTGTATGTTCGTCATGGCTTTGATCCTTATTGCGTATTGTCATCAACATCAATTGCTTTCACATTTGTTTTCAGCATACTATAGTAAACTAAGCATACTATAGTAAACTACCTTTGTTGGATATTGTATTCCTTTCACTTTACATATGTAGTTCTGTGTAACTGACTCCAAAATAAAATTGCTTTTGTATATTCACCACATCTTTGAATCGTTATTGTATATTGAACCAATTTCTTTCACTTCTTTTGTCTGTCTATGCACAGCTGTAAATTTCTATGTTGTCTTTTGCCTTCATTGTGCACTACAGTTCGCAGTTGTTTCTTACATTGAAAACTGTTATTGAACTCTTGATGCAGGCTAAAGGTTTTGTTGCTAATTCCTTTTACAGTGGATTGTCAGCTACTGAGTTTTTCTTCCACACAATGGGAGGGCGAGAGGGGCTTGTTGATACCGCGGTAGGGTTCATATTTTGAATATACTATGCACAATATGTTCTTTATCACTTGTTTCAATTATAACAAGAAGTAAGAATCATAGGCTATCTGATATGTGCTATACTTCTATGAATCTATATTAACTTTTAGGGAGAGCCTTTATATGGTTTCGTAGATGTGCTTGTGGGTGAGATATACTTTTACTTAAACCAGTTAATATTTTTATTTAGTATAATTAATGGATCACGAATTAAGGCTGCATGTTTTTGGCTTGGTTATGAGACTAGGAAAGTCATAAGAGTGAATCTTGAAGTTCTTCATTTGGAATAATGGTTTCTTGTTACTTGACCAGTTAACGGATTTATTGTTACTGCCTGGAAGTTGATGTGGATTTCATTACATTTGATGATATTGGTGGAGCATAGCTCAATAGGTCTATCTCTTGGTCTTTACCAGGGGGGTTGTTGTAATAAAAAAATAGGACCAGTATGGCCTCCCTATAACAAAAAAAATTCTTTTTACAAACAAATAAAAAGGTATAGTTAAATATTATGGATATAGGAGCCACCATTAGTGGTAAAACAAGGAGCATTCATTTTGTGATGTTTTTCATTAGTTACTTTTTTTATTTACTGGGAGGATAAAAGTTGGAGTCCATTTTATACTGCTTGTGTGTTTTCAGGTGAAAACTGCAGATACTGGATATATGTCTCGTAGATTAATGAAATCTCTAGAAGATTTGTTTTTACATTATGATTACACTGTAAGAAATGCTGGTGGTGGTATTGTTCAATTTTGTTATGGAGATGATGGCATGGATCCAGCAGGCATGGAAGGAGAAAACGGAAAACCATTAAATTTTGAGCGGTTATTTCTGCGAAGCAAGGTTTGAAAGCTGCCTTTGTTGTTTTATGGAGTTTCATTGCTATTGTCTTGAATCTTGCAACTTTCTGAAGAAAGATGTTTTTTCCTTGTTAAGTGCGCCTTGGTCTTTTATTTTGTCTTTGTAGGCCATATGTCCTAGTCATGGAGATGATGAAATCTTATCTTCCTCAGATGTGTATAAAGTAGTTCATGAGAAGCTTTCAGAAGTTGGTATGTCTAGGCTAGTGGTGAAAGGGGTTTCAGAGGATGATACAGTGTCAGACGTGGACTCCTCTGCCGACTTCATAAATTCTCTACAATCCTTTATCAAAGATGGTACAGAATTATCAGAAGAAGCTTTCACTGAGGACAATTCTAAAAATCAAAAAAAATTTATCCAGAGGATATCTGGGATCACTCGGAAACAACTAGAGGTAATTATCTTCTTGTCCTTAGTATGGCATGCATCCAATTTTCTTATTTTGTAAGCTTTTTTCCCCCTTATTTATTATTGTTTGCTTCATTTGGTCCTTGAAATCTTGTTATTTCACGAGCAAGCCTTGGCAGTCTAACTTGCTTATGCTAAATTTTTTTGTTGTGTACCTTTGTGTGCTAGAACGTGGGGTAGAAGTCTTTTGGGAAAGAAGTAAAAGGAATATTTAAACTGTTAAAAGAGTGCTAATTTTTTTTATATTTCTAAAGATGGACAACTAGCAAGAACTTGCCAAATTTGAATAAAGTAAAATATTTCAGTTGGAACTATTACTATGATGCAGCCAAGGTAAGTACAACAAAATAAATGTTTTTTTTTTTCAATAGAAGAAATTCATTAAGACAAAGTGAAGAATATTACAAAGAGTTGGGAGGATAAGAAATCCTTCTTAAAAAAGGGGAGAAAAAACCTCAGAGAACAAAGAATACATCAATGAGACAAAGCTTCCCCTTCCCTCAACATATCTCTGAGGGTTCCCCTTTTAAAAGGAGCATGTACCTTACACCAAGTGGAAGTCAAACACCTAATCTTATCACAAAGAAGCTGCTCATCCAAAGAAATCTCCTTGAAGATGAGCAGAATAAATGTTATGTTCTAAACCAATTGGTGCTTTGAACATTTGTTTTCGTCCATTAGTTTTTGACTCCCCTTCCTTAAGAATCTGTAATTTTCTGCTTCGGTGATAATGGCTGTGTCTTCTGAGTCATTGACTCTAATTTTATTTAGCAATGTTCCAAGTGAGTGTGGAGTGCAAGTTGTTTTAGGCTTATCATGAAGCGTCCATTTACGCATGATTGCTGTTGCCTAAAATTTATATGAGTTGTCTGTTCTCGCCTCGCAGTAGTAAATTTTAGTTTTATCCCTTAACTGAGGTAGCTGTTAACATAAATTGTCAATTTCAGTTGTAGCAAGTACAGATAAAAAATCAGTTGTTATTTATCTATAATCTAGGCTATCCCTCCCATCATGTAGGTAAGTCTTAAAATAATATCAAGGGGCTAAAATCCATGTGCTTGTGAAGGATTGGCATTTGACATCATGACAACAATTAAGGTAAAATGTTCTCCGGCATAAAAGGATGATAAGACATCCAAAGTGATGCTGCTTTCTGAACTGATTTCCTCTTTGTTCTTAATTAGAATGTATGAATGTATTGTATTCAATTGTGTATAGAACTATACAAAAGACCTCTATTTAAAGAGGTTAAATGACCTAATGGGCCAAACCCAAATAACCTACTAAAATAACAGAATAATAAATAATACAATACTATTTAATATTATATTATTTCTAACACTCCCCCTCAAGCTGATGCGTATATATCACAAGCTCCCAGCTTGTTACATATATGTTCTATTCGGGGACCTCTCAGAGCCTTGGTGAAAACATCTGCAAGTTGATCACTGGAATTGACAAATGTTGTTTCTATCTCTCCTGATTGAATCTTCTCTCTAACAAAGTGACAGTCAATTTCTATATGTTTGGTCCTCTCATGAAAGACTGGGTTAGAGGATATATGCAATGCTGCTTGATTGTCACAAATGAGCTTCATGGGCTGCTGTTCACTTAGATGTAGTTCCTTAAGCAATTGTTTTAGCCAGATGAGCTCACATGTTGCATTTCCCATTGCCCGATATTCTGCCTCTGCACTTGACCTTGCGACCACAGTTTGCTTCTTACTTTTCCAAGAGATCAAGTTTCCTCCAAGGAGAACACAATATCCCGAGGTGGATCGTCTGTCTGAAGGAGAACCTGCCCAGTCAGCATCTAAATAGCTAGATACCTTTGCATTCCCTTTATTTGTGTATAATAAACCTTTTCCTGGTGCTCTTTTGATATATTGAAGAATCCTGATAACTGCATCCCAATGGGAGTCACAAGGAGAGTCAAGGAATTGACTTGCCACACTAACTTCAAAAGAGATGTCTGGTCTTGTCACAGTAAGATAATTCAACTTTCCAACTAATCGACGATAACGACCAGGGTCTGCCAATGGCTCCCCTTGTCCGGGTAACAGCTTAACATTAGGATCCATAGGTGTATCAATAGGTTTACATCCCAACATACCAGTCTCATTTAGGATATCCAGTGCATACTTCCTCTGACAAATGGAGATGCCCTACCTAGACTGTGCCACTTCAATCCCTAAGAAATATCGAAGTCTGCCAAGATCTTTGGTCTGAAATTGATTGAATAAGTACTTCTTTAACTGATCAATCCCAACTTGATCGCTGCCAGTAATAATGATGTCATCAACATAGACCAGGAGATAGATGCACTGGCCAGAAGAGCTATGCCTGTAGAAGACAGAATGATCGGCTTGACTTCTGGTTAAGCCAAAGGATTGAACAGCAGAACTAAAGCGACTAAACCAAGCCCGAGGGGACTGCTTCAAGCCATATAAAGATTTACGAAGCTTACATACCATTCCAGAATTCTCCCCCTGAGCAACAAAACCTGGTGGTTGCTCCATATATACTTCCTCTTGTAAGTCACCATGTAAGAATGCATTTTTGATATCAAGCTGTAGAAGAGGCCATTGATGAATGGCAACAAGTGCAAGAATAGGCGAACAAATGCCATTTTTGCAACAGGAGAAAAAGTATCCCCATAGTCAAGACCAAATATCTGAGTGTATCCCTTGGCCACCAAACGAGCTTTGAGGCGATCAACAGTGCTATCAGGACCAACTTTGACAGTAAATACCCATCGACAACCGGCAACTGACTTTCCAGGAGTAGCATGAACAAGATCCCATGTGCCATTGGAGTGAAGTGCTTGCATTTCATCAATCATTGCTTGATGCCAACCCGGATGAGAGAGTGCTTCACCTGTGGTTTTAGGAATAGAAATAGACGAAATACTAGAAACAAAAGTAAAATGTGGTGAAGAAAGTCTATCATAACTCAAGAAACTATAAAGTGGATGAGGGTTACGAGTGGATCGAATACCATTGCGAAGGGCAATGAGAGTAATTTCTGATGGAGGATCCGGAGGGGAAGAGTCGACAGCAGCAAGCGGTGAGTCAGTAAGGGTCAAATCCGCTGGAAGCGCAGGCTGACGACGTTGGTAGGTGAGAAAAGGACGGTCCTTAGGGATGGAGGCAAGGGGCTGCTCCTCCGGGATAGAGTCTCCTGCAACTGGCAAAGACAAATAAAGAAAAGGAACAAGAAGAACTTGATCAACTTGTGTTATCTGAGATGGGATAGAATGCAAATGTTGTTGATCAAGGAAAGTGACATCAGCCGAGACAATATAACGCTTGAGATCAGGAGAGTAGCAACGATACCCTTTTTGAAAACGAGTATATCCAAGGAAAATACACTTGAAGGCTTTGGATGTTAATTTATCTTTTCCTGGAGTAAGATCATGAACAAAGCAGGTACATCCAAATACATGTGGAGGTAGAGGATAAGAAGGTGCTCTTGGAAATAAAACACTATGTGGAACTTCGTTATTGAGTACGGAAGAGGGCATGCGATTGATGAGAAAGAAAGAGGTGATTATAGCATCTGCCCAAAAACGAAGTGGAACACTCATATGAATTAGTAGGGTACGAGCAGTTTAAACCAGATGTCGATTCTTACGTTCGGCCACTCCATTTTGTTGTGGAGTGTGTGGACAAGTGGTCTGGTGTAACGTCCCATGTTTCTCTAAAAAATTAGAAAACTCAAGAGACACATTCTTTTGCATTATCACTGCTCAAAATTTGAATAGAAGCACCAAATTGAGTATTTATCTCGGCACAAATTTTTTGTTAAATTGAAAATAATTCAGAACGATTTTTCATTAAATAAACCCAAGTGCAACGAGAGAAATCATCAATAAAGGTGACAAAATACTGAAAACCCAAAACAGACATTGTTCGACTCGGACCCCAAATATCAGAATGAACAATAGAAAAAGGAGCATCAGCTCTTTTATCGACTCTATTAGCAAAGGAGGAGCGAGTGTGCTTTCCTTGCTGACAAGAATGACAATTTAAAGACTTAAGACTGGATAAAAAGAGAACCATATACTGAAGCTTGGAGAGGCTTGGATGACCCAGACGGCTGTGAATTAGCTCAGGAGACTCTGTGAGAGAACAAGCTACTGGAGAAGGTGGTGCAATCAGATAGTAGAGACCTCGTGACTCAATGCCTGCTTCAATCGTCTTCCCCGTACCCGAATCCTGTATAGAAAAGGATTGTTTAGAGAAGGTAACAGTACATGAAAGAGAATGAATCAACTGGCTAACAGAGATTAAATTAAAAAGAATGCCAGGTATATAATAAACAGAACTCAAAGTTAAAAGGGGTGTTGGGTTGGCTTCCCCAATTCCACGAGTGACAGGGGGTAGGTTATTAGAATAAGAAAGTGAAGTGAAGAGATCTTTATTACCACAAAAATGATGAGTAGCACCTGAGTCTATTATCCAGGGTCCAAGAGATGATTGATAAAAACAAGCAACATGATTACCAGTGTCTTGAGTAGGATGTTGAGAAGAGACCTTCTTGAGAAATGCACTTGAGAAGGTGGTGTAGCATCAGTTTGAGCAAAGTTGGCAGTCAATGGCTTCAAATGAGGGTACTTCTTATAACAGCGTTCTTCAAAATGCCCAAGATTCTGGCAATAATTGCAACGAGGCCTTTGTCTGCGGCCACGTCCCCGACCGCGTCCACTATTCCAATTGGAATCACTGCCCGAGAAAAGAATGGAGATGGGGTAGTACTGGAGATGATGCCAGTCGTGTTTTTGGACGCATTACATGAGCCCTCCATCACAAAATAAAATAAAGGAGATGACCAGATCTGAAAAGAGGAGAGGAAGGTTCTGTCTCGGAATGGCCGAATTTTTTTTTGCGTGAACAGTACCTGTACGGACGCGTGAACAGTGTTTGTACGGACTATGGACAGTGAAATATGTACGGACGGTGAACAGTGAAATCTGTACAGACTGTACGGACGCGGTGAACTGTGATTTTTTTTTTTAAAACCCGCGTGAACAGTGTAGAACCAAGCCGGAGGGGCGCACGGCGTTAGAGGAAGGAGAGAACGCCTAAGCAGTGGGCTTAGGGTTTTAGCGGAAGCGAAAATTCCCAGAACAAAGAGCTCTGGTACCAAATTAGAATGTATGAATGTATTGTATTCAATTGTGTATAGAACTATACAAAAGACCTCTATTTAAAGAGGTTAAATGACCTAATGGGCCAAGCCCAAATAACCTACTAGAATAACAGAATAATAAATAATACAATACTATTTAATATTATATTATTTCTAACATTCTTTTTATAGACATCTCCAAAAATAGATTGTTCCTAGCAAGTCAAATGTTGCACATTAAACATTTGGAACTCATGCCCTAGCTAAATGATGAATAGATGAGCAAGTACGTAATTGTCATGCACAACGGGTGAACTCAGGATTCAGAGTAAGTTTTCCAAATTGTGAAAAGGAATAACTTTGGGACACCCGGATTGATTTTTACACGGGGCTATATTTTTTAATTTTTACCAGGATTATATTTTATTGGTAGAGACATACACCGTCAGATGCTGTGCACACACATGGAAATGCTCATGATATACATTTGTATCGTCCAATAAACAATAATATGTCTAGCGATATTGTGTTTGTTAGTATTATGCTACAAGCTGTTCTAATTGATTGATTGATTCATGCATTTCTATTTTATCACTCGTAAACTACCCAATGCTTGTCTCATTTTTTTTCTTTTACAAAAAAGTAAAATTAAAAGTTAGAAGTAAATAATTGATTTTTGGGTGAGGTTATTGACAAAATTCCTCTGCAATTGATATACATAAAATTTAATCAACTATGTATGTGTTAGAGATATATAAACCATTGATGGGTCTTCACTTAATAGCTTAAGCTTTTGGGTTGAATTGATTTTTTACATGGTATCAGAGCTTCAATGACCATAAGATCACGAGTTCGATCCTCATCACCCCCACTTGTAGAATTAAATAAGCATAAGGTAAACCAATTTTTTTTTTTTTGTTGGGTCTATACAATATCCGCGTTTCAAGCCCAAAGGGCTCTTATATGAGGAGGTGTGTTAGAGAATAATATAAACCATTAAAAAGGCCTTCACATAACACCTTAAGGTTTCCTGTGTATTATCCACTCTTCATGCCCAGTAAACTCTTGTGTGACTTTTGATGGGCCTTCACTTAACAACTTAAGCTTTTGGGTTGAATTGGTTATTTACAGTATGCTTGTTGACTTTTATCTTTTCAGTACTTTTCACCATGTTATCTTCACGACATCTGGTTCTTAGAATATACATTTATTTTCTATTTAATTAATGTGTTGTTCTTAGTAGTTTGAGATTGTATTTTACATAATACTCTGTTTTTCAGGTTTTTCTGGATATTTGTCTATCTCGTTACCGTTCAAAAAAAATTGAGGCTGGAACCCCAATTGGAGCTATTGGAGCTCATAGTATTGGAGAACCTGGGACCCAGATGACTTTGAAAACTTTTCACTTTGCTGGGGTGGCAAGCATGAGTATCCTTTATTTGACTATGTTGTCTACTTTGATGATCATTACTTGACTGGAATTTTGCTGTATGTTGATTAGTTTTGAATGTTGTCCCTTGACCTGTCATTAGATGTTACTCTTGGAGTTCCTCGCATCAAAGAAATAATAAATGGAGCCAAAAAGATCAGTACGCCGATCATCACTGCAATACTTGAGAATGATGACAATATAATTACTGCAAGGATGGTAAAAGGTCGCATAGAAAAAACAAATTTAGGCGAGGTATGCAGTTGTAGGGAAAAATAGTGTTATACCCTGATTATCTGTCAATTATATGATTATTTATATGCTTAAAACAACATACCCTGTTATTCAATTATTTTTCAGATGTCATTAGTTATTCTTTCAATAGTTTGCTGTATATATGGTGCTTAATTTTTGGGTACTTTTCAGATCAGTATAATATTAATTTGGATTACTATTATTTTGTGCATTACAACAATAGTTAATTCTTAGTCACAAGTTTCTGCTGTGTGTATAGGTAGTTGATGATAGTCATTTTGAATTTTGTTGCTCATGCTTTTTTCTTGTTTAGGATTATACTTCTTTTTTATTTTCTAAAGTTATGCCATGATCTATATATTTGATAGGAGTACTTCAATTATAGTTGATTGGATGCTATGGAGCACCAACTCTTTATGAGAGGAGAGACGAGCTGTGTAGTACATCCCTTTGACATCTGTAAATAGTACTCACTAAATTTAATATTTGACACTTTTAGATGGTTTTAAAACTTTGTTTGAACTCATATATGACTTATCAGGAGAAAGAATGATCTAGGGTAATAAGTTCTACAACATATTTGCAATCTTTCAGCAAGTTATTTGTATTAATCCTGTCATGTACAGATGTCCAAAAAAGAGAGTTGAAGTTAGAGAGAGTTTGGGTTTCCAAATGGGTTTATCATGGAGTGTGAGTGAGAAACTGAAAGAAAACACCACAAGAATTTCAGGCCCAAAATATTCTATCTAAATTTGTTTTTAGAGAAGTAAACTCAATTAAAAGAAAATGGATTATAGTTCACTAGTTTTTCTATTATTCAAATCTCAACAGAAATGAAAGACCCAAATACAAATTCAAAGAATGATCTTGAATAGAATATAAGGGGCTAATGGGAAAATTTTGCCAGGTACGGAGATGACAGGGATAATTCTCTGAAAAATGGAAAATTCCCTACCCAAATTTCCTCCCAAAAAACATAAAAAAAATGCCTGAGAATATTGTTTGACACTTAGAATATTTATCCAACTTTATTGTTGTTTGTTTTAGTTGCCTTGGTCCTCTTCAAGTAATTTAACAAATTGTGTTAAGGATCACTTCATTTTCATTTGAATCTTATCTTCAGTTAGTTGATAAGTATCAATCATGTATATATATAAATATTAAATATTCTGCCTAAACTACTTTTTTGTCCTTTTGTTAAGCACCTGTCCTGAAGCACTCATCTTCTGATCTATTCTTGATTTGTCTGATCTCAAACACTGTCACTTTGTGCCAATTGATACAGGTTGCAAAGACTAAAATTGTTATGTCTCCAAGATTACCATCAGTTGTTATAACGCTTGACATGGAAAGAATCCAAGATGCACATCTGAATATAGATGCTAATACTGTAAAAGAGTCAATTTTGCAAACTAAAAAAATAAAATTGAAGCCAGAGGTAAAGAGTTTCTCTGGTAATTATGTTTTTCTTTTTCTTTTATGCTTGCAATATCCAAAATTTTGGTTGATGTGCAGCAAATTAAGGTTTTGGATATTAAAAAGCTTGAAGTTGTTCCCCAAGATGCTGATAGAAGTAAAATCCATTTTCAACTTCACTATCTCGAAAATTTGCTCCCATCAGTTGTGGTGAAGGTATTTTCATTTGACTTTCTTAATGGTTGATACCCGATGAAGACAGCATTGTATTTATTTTGTATTTTTAATTTATTCTCAGATGGGAAAACAAGTAACTTTTATTTGCTTAACTTCAGGGGATTAAAACTGCCGAACGTGTTGTTATTGATAAAGAAGAAGATAAAGAGAGGAAGGTTGAAAAGTTCAAACTACTGGTGGAAGGGTTAGTTCTTCCGGTTTTCATGATATGCTTTTAATTTTCACTATAACATAAGTTTCATTCATGATATTGCACGTTAATAAGTGTTAGATCAAAGAGTTGCAGAAGGGAGCTTAAGACGCAAGTTGATGTTGACATGGAAAAATGCTGCTTCATCATGGCCACTGTCTGAGCTTCTACTAAATGCGTATAAACAAGCCTCTTTATTTTCTACTATAATATAAAGTGATAGGAGGTCAGTAGAAGAAAGAAAAATACCATATGTTTAGGAGAACATTAAATTAAAATCATGAATATGATCATAGAGGAGAGTATCCTGCTGGACTGTAAAGAACCTTGACAGAGGACAGTCCGGGTGTAATACGAAAAAAATACTGTTAAAAAAACTATTGTTGTCTGGACACAGTTAAGGAATAACAATAATAATAATAATAATAAACCACTTCTCATGAAATCTCGAAGTTAAAAAAAAACTATTGTTGGTCTGGGCTCGGGGGCATTGTCATAACATTCCTTTGTATTGCTTCTTGTTATTTGTTAACATTATTTCGTAATCTACATGTATTTTTTTTCCCTTCAGGATGGGCCTTCGGGAGGTTATGGGAGTTGAAGGGGTTGATGGACGTAAAACTGTTAGTAATCATATCATTGAAGTGCGGGACACTCTAGGAATTGAAGCTGCCAGAAAGTGTATCATTGAGGAGATAAAGTTCACAATGGGAAGTCATGGAATGAGTATAGACATACGCCATATGATGCTTCTAGCAGACGTGATGACTGTCAGGGTGAGTTATTTGGAAACTACCCAGCAAGACCATTATCTATGTTTGTGCTATGTAGATTTCCACTTATGCAAGTGTTTTATCAAACTAGGGTCAAGTCCTCGGAATAACAAGATTTGGAATTCAAAAGATGGGTAAAAGTGTATTAATGCTTGCATCATTTGAGAAGACATCAGATCATCTTTTCCACGCATCCGTGCATGGGAGGGATGACCCGATTGAAGGAGTAAGTGAATGCATTATCATGGGTATACCAATGCAGATAGGCACTGGAATGATCAAGGTCAAACAAAGGTGAGACAAGAATGCAATGTATGTTAATGTGGTTACAATATTGCCTTTTCATGGTAGTCCTATTTGTTATACATGCATCAGGTAAGCTTTCTTGGCAGAAACTTAGGTGCCAGTGCTAGCTTAATTACAGTTTATAGTTATGAGCAGGGGTAAGTCAATAGGGTCTACAAATATCTCCTATAAATTAAAATACAAAATAGTTATAAAAATAAAATCATGACTCAATTAATTATTGTTAGAGATATGTCATTCATGAACCTCTACCTAATTAATTAATTAAGCTTTTAGGAAAGTTAGACCTTGACATGGTAGTAGAGCTTTCATGATTTGCCCACATTCTTCTAAATAAAGTTGGATTTCAGTATTTATGATTGGCATGTGGATATTGCCTATGCTTCGAACCTAGAGAGCTTTTGCATAAGAAGTCGTGTTAGAGATAAAAATTGTTCATTAGTCTCTACCTAACATATTCAAGTTTTAGGAAAGTTGTTCCTTGATAATTATTATATGAAGTAGAAAAGAAAAAAAAAATTCTTACCTCATTTTGAATCCTATCTTTGATAGTTTGATCTACTGCTCATGTTCTCCATGTATTGATTGCATTGGATTAAGAACTTAAATGGATGCTGACATTGTGTGTGTGTGTCTATATATATGGGGCTATATTTTCTTTTCTCGCAGAGGATATCAATTTTTCCTGCACACCCATGGAGAACCGTGTCAACAGTTTTTTTATTTTATTTTATTAAATAATGGGATCCACTTCAAAAAAATGTATCTATTGCATGAGAGATCCATTTGCCTGTTGCTGAAGAATATGATTTCCATATATATATATATATATATATATATATATATATATATATATATATATAAGGTAGGATCCTTTGACACCGGTATCAAATTTGAAGTTTGACAACTCATCTAAGAGCCGTTAGATAAAAAAAGATCAATGGTGTCACATGCTTACAAATCAGAATCGTTGATCTTTTTCAATCTAACGACTTTTAGATGAGGTGTCAAACTTCAAATTTGACACTGGTGTCAAAAGATCCTACCTCTCTCTCTCTCTCTCTCACTCTCTCTCTCTCTATATATATATATATATATATATATATATACTCTGCTGCAATATATGCTTTCTCTCCAGCAATTGAAAGTTATCTGTTTCTTCCGTTTCTGAACCCCTCACCTTTCTTGTCTTATTCATTACTTATTATGGTCATTACACTTTAGCTAACCCCTCTGTTTCTTAGGTTGGATCCTCCGGTGTTGCCTCAAGGAACCGATCCTATTCTATGTTGAGTTCGAAGTTGTATATTAGCAGCAATAATGTGGATCATCCAAAATGAGGGTCATCCAGGATGCAGTGCACTGAATGTTATGAACTTAAGGTCACCACATTTACTCATGAGATTGCCTGACACTCAAGTGGTCTTTAGCCACTGGCATATAGCTGAATTGGTAACAAAGGGAGGGATGAGGGGAGTGGAAATTTGAGTATATATCAAGAATATAAAAAATTTGTAATAACATTATCATTATTTGGAAAAGCGTAAAGGAAAAGATAAGGTATGGCATTATTTTTGACCAAGCATTACCCTTGATCACAACCACTCGTTTTCATTCATTAATGATGAGATAAGAGTGAGAAAAATATATATTTTTAAATGAGTGGTTGTTGTGATCAAATAACATGATCACATGATCGCTTTTTCATATGAGAGGATTCAAATTCATCATGCTATGGAGAGAGTTTGTGGGTCCCACTCTTAAAAAAGAAGGAACAATGATGACTCACCATTTTGTTGAGTGTGCAGGACAAATTTCTTGTGTTATGCGACAGGAAATTCACCAAGCCCTTTTTTTAAATCCAAAATGAGGTAAAGCATTTCATTGGTTAATAGTAACGCAAAAGCGTATATGAATTGACTAAACGGAAAAGAAATAGGATTCAGATTAGTCATAACTCAATAATATTTTTATTTAACTAAAAATAACTGCATAAATTAGGTTTACAATGCCCTAAAATAGGCAATAAATAGTCAAATAATAGAAATTATGAAACAAAATAGGTGTTGGGTATAGCTCTATTATTGTTCAGGAACTGAATTTAAATAAACAAAATAATAAACAAAAAAAAAATGAAAATTTTCAATTGGGGTGATAATTTTCAAAATACAATTGAATAGATTGTTTGATATTTTTTTCAATCAGTATGTGTATTCTTGTCGTGTTTATGTTAAGGGTATCTATGTTTGTTTCGTGTTCGTGTTTGTGTTGACCCGTTCAAATTAAATAATTATAAATTTATCCATACTTATCCCACTTTTGTTTATTAAATTGAGATTATTTAAGTAATATTAATTAAAAAAATAAAATTAGCACCGGTCATTCGTGTCAACTGGTGTAAAACTCATGTTATGTTTATGTTAAGGGTTTTGATACAAATAGCTATTCGTATCGTGTTGAGAGAATATTCGTATTCATGTTGAAATCATATCAACGCAAATTATAGCCCCTAATTTTGAAGTTGTTGATATTTGGGGCAATATCCCTCTTGCTTTTTGTCTTTCACCATGAGATTTGTTGTTGAATAGCACAAGCACATAAATCATTTTATTAATTCCTCCATTACAGCGGCAAAGTTTACAGTCTTTAAATTCAACCCTTAAGCAAGAACAAGAAACGCCTTTACATATTTTCTAATTCTTTTCCAATACTCCCACCCTACAATCGTTTGTCTTCGACAGAGAACTTTCTGTGAGTTAGGTTACAGGGTTCTCAACTAAGTTCAGGTCAAAAAAAGTAAATGGGCAAAGATGAAATCCAAATTGACTACAGCAGGCTAAAGCATAAGTGGGAAATGCAAAATGTCTCATCTTATTTACAAAATATGAATTTAATTTATTTTTCTTTTCTTTTGAGGTCCCTTTCATAGTTTTTAACTCGGGTAATCACAGAGAGTAATTTGCAACTGGGAATTATCAGACTCAGCTGAATACTGTCTGATGAAAGCTCTTCTCCACCAAATCTCAAATGCCTTCTGAATATTAGGACAATCATCTCCTTTATTAAGAAATCTATCAAACCAATTGAGCAACACAGACTGTTGTTGTAGTAAAGGCAGTGTCAATATAGTTTGGCTTAGTCCATCCTCAACCAATTTCTTATCAACAGCTCTAGAAGCTCTTCTCATCCATCCAAAATCTTCATATAGAGCTTCTAGCCATGTTGACAACAAGGAAAATCGAATTTCTTTTGGTACCAGTATGTGTCCCCTTCCAATGCCAATACATAGTTGTGCTGTGATTCTACTGATCTCATGGCGGTAAACGGTTGGAACTTTTGAATGAAGTGTAGCAAGTTCTTTCTGTTCTGCCCATATTTTCACAAATTCATCACCCATCTTTTTGCCAATCAAAATGTCAACAATCCACTGAATATTGTCAGCTTCACGAGTTATTTCACTCATTAGAACCCCGCGATCTGGCCTCTCATCCTTGCCGGTTGCTTCGGACAGGCATAGGACAAGCGAACTGATGCACCTATGGCAAAGGTGATAAAGTGTGTCTTTAGAAACATCAAGTCTGCTGCTATCATTAGATGCATTCTCTTTAAGCAATCTAGATATCAAAGCTTTCATTTCCCTACGAGCTTTGTCATCTTTTGCTTGTAGAACACCATTCAGCAGGTTCATGAAGATGTCATCGGCTCTTGCAGCAGTAGATGGATCAGATGATACTCTATGAAGAACTTGAGTTGCAGAGTCATGAAGCTGCAGATGACCTAGCTGAGATATTACTTCCTCTTGTTCATCCTCAGTCCATGGAATAGCTTCCAAATATTCTAGGCATGATTCAACCCCAAGGTCAAACATGATAGCTGCTGATACCTACAAAAGAAGGTAAGCCAAAACAAAATGTGAAACAAATAAGAAGTCTCATTCTAGGAAACAAAAAGGGCAACCTGGTTCTATAAAGCTTCCCCGAAGGGTCAGATCCATTGTGTGGTTAAGGAAAATAAAAAGCTCTGAACAACAATGATAGCTTAGTGAAATATCACTCTTGGGTTGCTTGTGTGTTGAGCTGGAATATATTTTTCAATACTCCTAATAATATTGAATATTCAGTGTATCACCCACTAAATCTAGAAACATAATACTCACTTATTTGCATTTACTTTGTCCACTTTTTTTATTTTAATGCCATATGAATCTCAAACATTTCAAATTTTACTCGTCTAGCTGATCATAGATAAGATTCGATAGACAATTTCAAGAAACAGGCTGCACAAGGGGATAGTATGCACTAACATGTCCTGCCAGGGCTTATGGTAAAGAATTACAGTTAGGGACCAATTTGTGAATAACTTCACCAAAAGTACCAAATAAACACTAATGTGGTAACTTATGATATGAATGTGGAATAATTAATCACCAAAAACTACATGATTAGATAAAGTTAATCCCTCACTCCGTAACATAATTAACCACAAAAGACATGAATTGTGTAGAAGACAAAGTTGCTTATTATTAGTATTACTCTAAATAAAAGTCCAAATCTCTCATGTTCAAAGTCAAAATCATTCAACTAACTATAAATTTAATGCAACATAGAAATTCAACAAACTAAAAATGTGTATATTGGAACATACCTTGAGCAAGCTCAAAACTTTAGAAACCCCTTCACCCATTAATCTCAACCTTCTCTTGAGATCTTCACTGTGCATCAAAACGACAGCTTCAACGTACACTTCAACGTCGTCACAGTCACTGATCTCCACCGAGTGCGATAGCCCACTCTCACAACGAAGCTTCTCCGCGAAGAACCTGCTCTTGTCGGCGAGAACTCTCTTGTGCACATCCATTGAAACCTTGAATCCATCCCTCGAAACCACCGTGAGTTTCACATCACCGCCGCCACCGCGAAACGGCTCTTCATCGAGAAGCTTCAATACCCGATCTTGCATTTTCCGGCGCTTGTCGTCGGAGAATTTCGACTCGCGAGTGTGCTCCTCCGACATCATATCGAAGAGGGTCTGGGTCTGGGTCTGGGTCTGGGTGTGAGTATGGGAATGAGTCTGACTCGGGCGAGTTGAGGAGGGAGAGAAAGGAGGAGAAGAGAAGGTTCTAGAAGGTGAGAAAGAGAAGGTTGTTAATGTTGGGTCTGCAATGAAACCCTGCTTTATCATCGCAGATACCTCTCTGGATTTCAGTGCATTCTCTCTACCCATCGAATTGGAAGAAACCCAGTAGCAGTGGCAGTGGTAGTGTTAGCTGCTACACAAAGTTGAAGAAATCGGAGTTGGAAATGGAAATTTTCCCAGAATTTCACTCACTCACAGTCACAGATTAGTACCTTCTTCAACATTAGATAGAGAAAGAGAGAAAGATATATAGAGAGAGAGAGAGAGAGAGAGAGAGTAGTAGCTGAGAGAATCCAAGAGAGGGTGTAGTCTGTAATAATAATAAGGGAAACCAAATAAAAAACAATTGTTTCTCTGTTACAAAATGACGGAGATTAAGATTATCTACTGGCATCTGCTCTTCCCATTTGAATAATGTAATGTTACTCACATAAACGTTCATGCTTTTTTTTTAGTATTAAAAAAGGGTTCATGCTTTATGTAATGCAGAGCGACTTTCAAGATGAACGACGGTTCTCATGTATTCACACAAAATTTTTTAGTGTGCTTTATTTTTATTCATACATTTTATAAGAAACTTTTTCAAGAAGTCACTTATTATTCTAAGTCAAATACACTTAATTATGAAGTCTTTTTATTCTGAGCTACTGAAAAGTAAATGCATCAAAAGTAAATATATCTTGTTAGTGTATATATATAGTAATTATTAATTCTTATAAGTCATTCTCAATTATACACTTTCATGCCTATGGAGAGTCTCTGGATTCCTCTCATTTGAATGTTAATTTAATCATTCATGTACCCTTTTGCTGGCCGGAACATTTTACGTTAGCTTTTTCAGTAACCATACATTTTTTTTTTTTATAGGTTACAAAGAATAAAACACACAACCACACACTCACACACACCCTATTACACACACCCACACCACTAGGCTAGCCGTAGTGGATAGTAACCATACATTTGATTACACATTACCACTTTCACTAATTATGCAATCGTCAGTGTCCGGAATATTAGCCTTTATCAACAAAAATTAATTAATTTCTTCTGATGTTGCTTTTGTTGAATTCTTATATTTATTTCTTCAACCTTATATCTTTACTAATGTATGAAGTCAGAAGTAAGAATGGATTCCTTAAAAAAAAAATATTAAAAAGAATGAATGAATTCTTATCATTTAACATGATAAGATTACTAAGAAGATTTCAGACATATGGGTTTAATATTTGTCCTTTTAAGGAATACATAATTACGTCATTTTAAATAAGAAAAAGACACAAGCAATAAAAATTATGGAAGAGAAAGTATGTGATTTTTTTAAATTTAAATTTTAAATAAAAAATATTAGGTTGTATTTTTTCTCACTTAAAATGACACAATTATACGTCATTTAAAAAGGATAAATATTTTTCCCTTTATATATTTTCCTCATTTACTATTTTGATTTGTGCTCCATATTATTATAATCTCAATTAATCTTTATTACTTTTCTTTCTTCTTAAGATTCTAATATAACAATATTGAAGAATGATAAGTAAGACAGACATAAAAAAAAAGATAAATAGAATATCTCGTCTCTATCTCATATCTGAACAACTGAAATTATCTCACATGATGTCAATGAGATGATCACATCCTTCAACAATAATAAGGAGGGGTTCTTAAGTATATACTTTTTTTATTTTTTTGGGTAAACATATATACTTAGTTTTATCTAAAACTGTAATGCGATTTCAATTGGGCTTTTTTCACTTCATGTTACGTGGGTAGGAATTTAGTTCATTTAAATGTTTGTTTGAATAATTAGTGAAAATTTGCGGTTAAAGTTGGCAACTTAATATACTATTTTTTTATTGTTCTTTTTCGAGATGTACAAGGAAGGATAAGCGATGATATAATTACGTCCTTGTTATTATAAGTTATAACTAATAAAAAATGAGTTCAGTTTACTTTTTATGTGGATTCGTACTAAAGTTCTGTGTGGTTGGTACTTTGGAGGTCATTGCCAACTGCTTGCAAACTGTACTGTACGAGGGTCCCAATCCAACCCTGTGGGAACTTTAAAAAATTGTTGTGCATCTCCATAAGTATAAGGTGTCATGTCATGATTAAAGGAGTGTTGTTACTTATTCACAAATTAGAAGTGGTTGAAAATAAGTTTAGGCCGGCCAATAAATGATTTGGTATTTGTTGGTGTTTGGTGGAAATAATGAAGCGTGGATGTCCAAATGGCATTCCTGCAAACCAGGCACTGAAGAAAGAAAGAACGAAAGGGACAAGGGGAAAACACTGAATAAATTATTGTAAAAAGATTTACACCATCACTTGGCAAATTAGAAACATCACACCATTATTCATAAATTACAATGACCATGATCAAAATCAAACTTGGATTGCTTAACTGGGATAGCTTCAGGCCTTGTCCACTACTAAAGCAACAGATTAAAATTCCATTAATTGCTCAAGAACCCAACTTTAACCTACATATCAGTAGATAATAATTTAGTTAGTCACTAAAATGGTATATATATATATATATATATAACAAAGTTATACTTACAACCTTTTTTTTTACAACCTCTTACTACTATATCTTAACAACGTCGATTTTCGCCAATCAACGGTTATCATTTATCATTTACCACCATATCTTATATATATATATATATATATATATATATATATATATATATATATATATATATATATATATGGGCTTATCATTTCTCAAGCTGCCGGAGATAAAGTTATCTCCGGCTGCTAAATCATAATCGTACAAAGATAGATCAATTGTGATAAAGAAAGAGAGAGAAAAGAAAAATCATAACCATTCAAAGGTGAATCAATTAATATAAGGAAATAAATAAACAAAACGACGTAGTTTTGGGGTGGTCGGCGATAAACTTATCTCAAGTTGCCGGAGAAATATTTCTCCCTATATATATATATATATATATATATATATATATATAAAAGATTGAGTGTAAGAGTCATTGCTTTTACATTGGTGTAAGTTGATCCTGTCTCACACATATATATATATATATATATATATATATATATATATATATATATATATATATTTCTCATTTTACATTTTTCTCATGTTACACTCAAAATTAAAAAGTAGATCCCATCTTGATTTTTTTGTCTTTTCACTTTTTTGTTGACTCCACTCATGTATTGTGAATGTAACATAAGAAAGTTATGTCATCTAAAATGAGAAAATTAATCCATATATATATATATATGTATGTATCTATATATATATATATATATATATATATGGGTTAGGATCATTTTATATCAGTGTAAGTTACGCTCTCAACCTTGTCCGTTAATCTCATTTATATCTAAGAGCTCTAATTTTTTAGTAATATGAGTCATTGGATACAAGTGGATCAATAGTCAAGATTAAGTGTAAGACTTCTAACTCTTACACCGGTGTAAAAATATCCTGCCCCTATATATATATATATATATATATATATATATATATGGGGTAGGACCAACTTATACGGATATAAGAATAATAAGTCTTACACCAAATATTAACCGTTGATTTTCATAAATCTAACGGTTCTGATTTATCGGGTCACAATCATTAATTAATTATTAATTTACAATAAATTATAACCGTTAGATACACGAAAACCAACGTTTGATGTAAGATTTATTATTTTTACACCGGTACAAGTTGATCCTATCCCTATATATGTGTGTGGAGAGAGATAGTGATAAAGAGACCTTTCAGAAGACATTTATCTCCTCTAGGCCAGGATCTACGAATTTGGCTTCCTTATCTTCTTCAGTTGTGTTGGAGAGAGGAACATCAAGCTCTGGAGGTTTCTGGTAAGACACAGAATGTTTTACTAATCAAACAGGTAATGACAATATGAAATAGAGGATGAAAGTAAACATGGTGTAGCAATATGGAAGCTAGTGCCACTAAAGTTTTCTTATGTTACCATGCAACGAACTAGGGCCCAGTTGACACCCCGGAAGAAGGGGTGATGCTTAATGTCATTTGCTCCTCCCTGTGAACCCAATCTGCTTTTGGGGTCTCTGTCCAACAACCGGTACATTAACTGCTTTGCACTGAGACTTACCTGCATCATCATGACACACAAGATTATCATCTAATTCCTTTGCACACATGTGGATTCAAACTTTTTGAGGTTTTATCATTCAGCATGAAGCATATAACTCCAGACTATAGTCTGATCAGATGAGGTTTTTTAAGTATTTCATGTGAAAATTCCAATTTTCAGAGTTCCAGCTATTATAAGCCTATTGGTATATTATTATTCTGCAGCAAAGTCTAAAAGCATATTTGGTATATATCTATTGGTGAGTATCCCTTGCACATGAATACATGATTATCCGATGTCAGATTATTTGCATTCTCGCATTGTGCGCCCTAAAATCAAATGATAATGAATCTGCTAAGCTTTTTGTAACACCCTCAAATTTCTAACAATTTATAAAAAAATTCTTATAATAAATAAATTGAAATGACTAGGAGCATAAAAATGGTGGAAGAAAGTTTAAAACAAAGAGGCAAGAATAGAACTTTAGTATTTAATTGCAAAAGAAACATGCATGCTTCAAAAGCTGGCCATAGGCTGTGTAATATTATTGTCCAAAGTTTGGCAACTATAAATGCAATTTGACAGTCATGACTCTTATTTCAATTTCTTTAACTTGTTGATTATGTTGAATTTCAAGAATACAGCTTCCCCCTGAAAGAATTTAAGCAGACTTGTGTGAACATAAAGTTGTGCAGTAGAACAGTCTCACTCACCTGTTTACTTTTGGGAAATTTCAGATCCTTGTGGAGAATATTTGAAAATGTTCTTTGCCTATTCTTTCCCCTGAATGGTGTATACCCATAAAACATTTCATATAGAAGAATTCCTGTAAAAAGCAATGCATGCTGTGAAAATATGTCTCAAGTGTGTCCGTACTAATCTGACTGTTTTCTTTTGTACGTGAAAGACACCAACAGTTTAGGATGCGGCCAATCAATTACATTCCTTACAGTGAGAAAGATGCAATTAGGATGAGAGATGAATGTTTATCTTTATCTTTATCATTTCAAAAGTCTTTTGGTCAAAAGATTTCAATTTATTCTCTTCACATCATGAAATCCACTTAATTGAGAATAAAAAAAAGGGCGTGGCCTCAGTTAAAAAAAAGTTGACAAAGACAAAGGTTTAAGAAGAATGAATAGAATTAAGCTCAACTTATAAGAGAATACCATATGCTGAATAAACATAGATATATCCACTATACAGAATAAATTTGAAATGTATTCTGTTTCTCCTTTTATGTTTTCAAATTGTCGAGTTTTTTTAACATTCATTTAGTTGCCTAATGGCCTTTATTTATTGTAAGAATTAAAAATTACCAAGAGCCCACCAATCCACAGCACTAGTATGGCCGGAACCCGTTATAATTTCCTGCACAAGCATTGAACTGTCAATTACAACAAATTGTGAGAAGTGCGTAAAAAAAGGTCTCTACTCTCTACATTGGAACAAGAATTATACGTGTCTAATTGGCATGTTTATCAAGAATGATCGGACAAACAAACTGCAAGTCCCCTCATTCTCCTTAACTCCTATATCAAGTATGAAGACTGTACTACAGAACTTATTATACTTTCTAGTGAACTATATCATTAGTGCTTTCATAAGAATTTGGTGTCCAGTGTAAAGAACTAATTCAATCCAAAAATTTAAGTTAATAGTGAGGTTACATTAATAGTTTTATATATCTCTAACACGCTCCCTCATACGAGAATCCTAATCTACCTGTGCTAAGAAACTCACAATATTTAATTATTAGAATGGGGGCCGTGAGTATCAAACCTGTGACATGGAGGTTTTGATACCATAATATTTAATTATTAGAACGGGGGCCGTGAGTATCTAATCTGTGATACGGAGGCTCTGATACCATGTAAAGAACCAATTCAATCCAAAAACTTAAGATAATGGGTGAGGCTACATTAATGGTTTTATATATCTCTAACATCCAGAAATAATTTTCTGCTCAATTATAATATGTCCAGAATCAACAAACCGGAGCTATGTACTCTTCTGTGCCAACAAAAGAATTTGATGCTCTCATAGGTTCAGCCATAAATATTGGAGCCTGGTTTCCTTTCTGTTGTTTCTTCTTTTCATTTGTAACTGGAACTAGAAGCTGTAAAGAGTGCAATCAGACATGTATAAAATTGTTTCAGTAATCCGAGTTAAAAAGTATAGCTTCTAAAGTAAAACTTCATTATCTGAAGATCTTGTCCCTAAGGTACCTGTGGTTTGCAAGATGTTAAGCATGACAAATCAAAATCTGTTAGAGACACATGTCCATTGTTCTGGAGTAACACATTTTCTGGCTTCAAATCCCGATATATTATCCCTGTGAATTCTCACCAAACAATATCATTATTTAGATGCTGTTTTGAGTGTGTCTTGGAATACGTAAATAAAATTTTAAGCGGCAAGATTTCTTGCTACGACAGAATTTTGTGATAAGAAAGGATCATTTAATAAAGTTGAAAGGAAGTTCATGAGTTAAAAAGAGAAGGTAAAAACAATAACTATCACCATTACTCAAATAATAATTATAATAACAATTATTAACATCATGTCATATGGGTGATGAAAAGAGCCTACCTTGACAATGAAGGTACTCCAATGCAACAACTACATCAGCCGCATAAAATCTATTATATCAACCAATCTATGTCAGTAAAAGGAAAGTAGAGAAACACAAGTAGCTGACATTGTTGAAGAAGGATCATCTGCTTTAATAGTGGGTATTGACAACTATTTAATAAAGTCGCAGTACAACAAATATTAAATGAAAAAGTTTATAACAATTTAAGTCCATTAGAAAGAACATCTATTATGTCTTTTATATGCATAAGGTGTAGAAGTGGGAATACATGTGTAAAGAACTAATTCAGCCCAAAAGCTTAAGCTGTTGGGTGAGACTACATTAACGGTTTTATATATCTCAACACGCCCCCTCACACGAGAGCCCACTGGACTTGAAGGGTGGACAATGCACAGACCAACCTACCTATGCGAACAAAGAAATTCCACTTGAAAGAAAGTGGGGGACGGTGAGGATCGAACCCGGAACATGAAACTCTGATACCATGTAAAGAACCAATTCAACCCAACAGCTTAAGCTCTTGGGTGAGGCTACATTAATGGTTTTATATATCTCAACAACATGAAACAATGAAAGAATAGATATCAAAGGTACAGATAATTGTCAACTCAATAAAAGCAAGGGATATAGCTGAAATGGTGTGAGCATTTAAACAGAGAGACAAAACTCTGCCTTGGTGCAGAAGTGGGAGACCAATAATGACCTAGATAAAATTAATGAGGAAAGGTTTGGTGGCAACATGATTGGAAAAAGTCTGATTTGAATAAAAAGGACTCATAAAATATGAATACATATTGAAGGACTCAATTCATTATGATTGACGTTGAAAGCTTGAGAGTTTCTGTAGTGAGCATACAAGACTATAATTTAGCATTTACAATAAAGGAAATATGTTTCTCATGTTGCATGAGACAAAATTGTCTTATGTACACACTTTTTTGTGTTTTGAATGAAAAGCATATTACCCTTACAATAAAAGGAAAGTTGTTATTGTTTTCAAAACTCCCCCTTCCCCGCTACCAATTTTGACTGTCTTCAAACAATAAACTTGTGATATATCATATATGTGCATGCATACTTTGCGTAGTAGTATAATATACCTCACTGCATCTTCCTTAAGGACCTTTGATGGCTGTTGTTCAAGAAGCAGGAATAGTTCTCCACCAGGACAGTAATCAGTTATCAAACAAACATGTGTTTTGGTCTGCGAATATATCAAGTTTCAAAGAATTGACAAATTCATTTTATAATGAGTGAATTAGTAAAGTAAGCATCATTTAATAGCTTGTAAACTTGAATTAAATGAAATAGGAATTAAAGGTATCAATGTTGGTCAAGACTGAGAATATGATGTATGAAATCATCCTCCATAAAAGCAAGGATGTATGTTAAAAGAGCTTGTAACATATTTGCACTTTATAACCACAGGGTCGCAGGGGGTAGTGATCAAGTAATTTAAAGATCCTAATGTTCCTACAAGTTTCTCTAGTCACTAATAATTAATAACTATCTTACTTTGAAGTAATATGGAAGTTTCAAACCTGAAAGGAAGCATATAATGCAGGAAGAAAAGGGTGGTCCAATATGTCAAGGATTTCTCTCTCTGTGCAAGCTCTATGCACCTGTAGTTAATAGTTAAAAGAGAACCAGTAAGATAAAATTGACTCATTAAGTGATAAAATTTAAAATGTATTACCAAAAGGCAAAGAAAATGAAGCCAATTCAGTACAGAGCAACTTCCATGGGAACATTTCTAAAACTCTAGATCGTAGAAGGTGGACAAGTAGAAATAAAAAATTAACAGTAAAATGAAAAATATAGGCATGCCAAATGATCATATTCAGTACCTTGTTACGATTGAGCATAACACCCTTCTCCATAGCCTTCATGGCAAAATGTTGACCAGTTCCACATAGCTCCACCAGATGAACGCTGAAAGCCAGTAAACGAGTTGTATAGTAACATCATCGCCACAGAAGCTTTATAGGAAAAAGTAATTAACAGAGAAAAACTTCATATCACCCAAATCAATGAAGAAATTCTAATTAAGGTTATAGGATTTTAGCTCTATTGAGTTTTCAGCTAAACTACGGACTAATTCATCAAGAAGTCTCTTATATATGCTGAAATTCCATTGAAGAAATGTTAAAGACTTACTAGTTAATAAACACCCATTAACTAAGAAACTTAGACGGTTTGACTTATCTGGTAATTGGTAATGATTGGAGCAATGAAATCATTAAAAAATACATGTAAGTTCATAAGTCGTTGATGCATGTAAAGAACCAATTCAACCCAAAAGCTTCAGCTGTTGGGTGAGGCTACATTAATGATTTTATATATCTCAACACGCCCCCTCACACGAGAGTCCACTGGGTTTGAAGGGTGAACAATGCACAGGCCCACCTACCTATGCGAAGAAAGAAATTCCACTAAAAAGAAAGTGGGGGCGGTGAGGATCGAACCAGGTACACAGAGGCTCTGATACCATGTAAAGAACCAATTCAACCCAAAAGCTTAAGCTGTTGGATGAGGTTACATTAATGGTTTTATATATCTCAACAATGCAAATGAAATCCACCAAGTTGAAAGGGATTGAACATACAATGAATGCATTGTTTCAGGTTTTGTTTCTCAGGTACCATGTTAGTTATAAGTTTCCAAAACATCACAGTTGTATGGTTATAATTCATTTCAGCTGCCAAATAATTTAACCCTCATGCCACATTTTCAAGCACATTTGAAGGGTAGTGGAAAAGAGAAGCAGGTGAAAAAACCTGCCAGTATCTCCTGATCCCAAAGGTTTAATTGGCTTAAAATGCTTCAAACCTATCTGTTCTCCACTGTCTAGGATCTGCAAAACCATGGTCACATAATCAATTGGCAAAACATAAATGGTATATTCAAAAAGTGACAAGGAAGAAAATCCAAGATATAACAACCATAAGGAACAAAGAAGGATCTTTGATGTCATGTTTACCAATTCAATAATCTTCAATAGAATACATGATTAAAAAAATGAACACTTCCAAAAAAAATCTAAAGAAACTAGAGAAAAATAAAGAATGTTGTTGTAAATAGTGTCATAGAAGTCCCACATTGTGTATATGTCTTTATATTTCTTATTTGGTTTAATATATATAAATGAAATCTCCTTCGTGTAGTTGACACAAGGATTACAATGAATACCTCTTGTATCTTGATAATTAACATGGTATCAGAGCTTAACAAGAGGAATCCTAATCCGCGTTTTTTCGGTAGACCACTGTCCGCTGAGTAAAATATATATATTTTTTCCGGAAACAGTCATATCTGTCAGTTTCCGGCTTCCATATATCGTCTAAGGACCTGTTTGATCACTGTCGCTGTCAGGAACCACCGTTGACTGCCGTCCGCCACCGTTGACCGCCGTCTCCGACGACTTTTCCTGCGAGTTTTCCGGCGAAACACCCACCGTTCTGCTCGCCACAAAGAGGCGGCCCTCTTTGTCCAGGACCCACCTAGAGATTCTCAGCCACGCGCTCTCACGCGCGTGAGACAGCAGCTGCAGCCCGTCTTCTTGCAGTGGCGCGTAGAGGCGCGTGCGGCTCTGGTTTGCCATCGGACCACCACGGTTCTCCTCGTCTTCTCCTTGCGCACCTGGATCTGTCCTCACTTTGTGGTTTTGACTTCTTTACGGCTTCCCACAACGTCTTTTCCCTTGCTGGTTACTATTCACGCGTGTCTCTTTGCTTTCCATTACTGTTCATCTTTGTTTCAGGTGACTTATGGCTGATTTGTCACCCCATGATGCATCCAAGGGTTCTCAAAAGAATGACACGCCTGTTTTTACTAATTATGTTAATGTTCCGCTGCACGTCGACAAGTTGGATGGCTCCAATTATGATTCTTGGGCTTCTGATCCCCGACTTTGGTTTGATGGGCAGGATTATGCTGACCATCTCATTACTAAGGCTAAGTCTGTCTCGGTAGATGAACGCCCTTGATGGAAAAAGGTTGATGCTCAGTTATGTAGCATCATCAAGTCTACCATCCACCCGTCATTGAAGCAGATCTTCTGTGCTCACGTCACTTGTGAGTCTGTTTGGCGTCAGGCCAAGTCCCTTTATACCAATGACACTCAACGACTTTACGGGGTTTGTCAAAATTTGATAACCGTTATTGTTGTTCAACACTTTGATGTCTCTATGTCTGCTTATTTGGGAAAAGTTTAGGGTCTCCTTCTTGATTTCAATGAACTTTTGCCGCTTGCTGCAGACCCTGCTAAGGAACTTGAGCAACACAGCACATTCTTCATGCTTATGGCTCTTTATGGCTTGCCCCCGGATTAATCTGTCAACCGGGATCAGATCTTGGGCTCTACTACTGTTCCATCCCTGGACTCTGTTTGGTCTACGTTACTTCGAATTCCACCTAAGTCTACTTTGGAGCCTGTAATATCTGCTCCCTCTTCCATTGACCCTTTTGCACTTGTTTCCAAGGGTTATGTACGTGGACGAAAACCCTCTAAGGGACGCTTTCATTGCACTCATTGCAACAAGTCGGGCCATACTATTGATCGTTTCTGGGATCTTCACGGTCGCCCTCCTCGCTTTGCTAATTTTGCTCAGAGTGTTGCTCCTGCCTCAGACTCTGCTTTGATTGCTGGACCACAGCCACCTCCGTCTGTTCTCACTGACTTCTTGCAATGGTATGAAGAGAAGCGTCCTCCTGGTACCACTGCCTTTGGTGCACACACGGGTAATTCCTTTGCTGGTATTTCTCACTCGCCCTCTCTTGGTCCATGGATTCTCGATTCTGGTGCATCTGACCATATTTCTGGTAATAAGTCTTTATTCACCTCTCTCTGTACGTCTGGTCCCCTGCCCAGTATCACTATGGCTAATGGGTCACTGGTTCAGTCCCAAGGGATTGGCACTGTTCTCCTTTTTCCTTCTATTCCCATTAACAATGTGCTTTATGTTCCTAATTCTCCTTTCAACCTTATTTCCATAAGTCGCTTGACTCAATCCCTTGACTGTATTATTTCCTTCACTAAAGAGTCTGTCATTTTGCAGGATCGGAGCTCGAGGAGGACACTTGGCGTCGGATCTGAGTCCAACGGCCTTTATCAGCTTTCGACTTCTATCCCAGTGTGCACTGTTGTGGATTCTCCGCTTACTATCCACGCTCAGTTGGGTCATCCGAGTCTTGCTAAGCTCCAGAAGATGGTCCCACGTTTTTTAAATTTATCTAGTTTGTCTTGTGAGTCATGTCAGTTAGGGAAGCACACTCGTAGTTCGTTTCCCGATCGTGTCAGTCGTCGGTCTTTGTCTCCTTTTGCTTTAGTTCATTCAGATATTTGGGGTCCTAGTCGTACCGTTTCCACTATGGGGTACAGATATTTTGTAACTTTTATTGATGATTATTCTCGATGTACTTGGTTATTTTTAATGAAAAATCGGTCTGAATTGTTTTCCATCTTTAACAAGTTCTTTAATGAAATCCTTACTCAATTTGGTGTTTCGATTCACCTTTTTCGAAGTGATAATGCTCGTGAATATTTGTCTCATCAGTTTCAAACCTTCTTTGCATCTCACGACATCCTTCACCAGACATCATGTTCACACACCCCTCAACAAAATGGGGTTGCTGAACACAAGAACCGTCACCTCATTGAAACTACTCGGACACTTTTTTTACATGGTCATATCCCCTTCCAATATTGGGGTGATGCTGTCCTCACAGCTTGTTATCTCATTAATCACATGCCTTCCTCCGTACTTAATAACCAGGTACCACATTCTGTGTTGTTTCCCCATCAACCTTTGTACCCACTCACTCCTCACGTCTTTGGTTCTACTTGTTTGTCCATAATCTCAGTCCTGGCCTTGACAAGTTATCTGCTAAGTCACATAAATGTATTTTCCTGGGTTACCCTCGCTCACAAAAGGGTTATCGTTGTTACTCTCCCAGTCTTCGTCGTTACTTTGTCTTGGCGGATGTTATTTTCTTTGAGTCTATCCCATTCTTTGACTCCTCCTCCTTTCCCAGTGACTCTGTTGCTACTTAGCTACCTTTACCCCTTGTTTCAGTTCAATATATCCTTTCACCACCTCCTTCTTTAGATGTCCCCGCCCTTGTTCCCCCCCTCCAGGTTTTTCGTCGTCGGCAACGTCCACCTGTTCCCCAGGACCCTGCCCCTATTGTTACTGAGGCTCCTGTGGACTCACTTCCGTCATCATCTCCTCCGGCAGCTCCGATCCTTCCATCTGACATTGATCTACCCATTGCACTCCAGAAAGGTATTCGTGATTCTCGTCCCCCTCCCAGGTATTTAATAAATCTGAGTTATCATCGTCTTTCACCAACCCATTTTGCTTGCCTCTCTTCTTTTTCTTCTGTATCTGTTCCTAAGACTACAGGTGAGGCGCTATCACATTCTGGATGGCGACAGGCCATTATTGATGAGATGTGTGCACTTCAGAGCAGTGGTAACTAGGATCTGGTTCCCCTTCCCTCTGGGTAGTCTGTTGTTGGCTATCGATGGATATACACGGTCAAAGTTGGTGCTGATGGTCAGGTGGACCGTCTCAAGGCCCGATTGGTGGCTAAAGGTTATACTCAGGTATTTGGCCTCGACTATGGAGACACGTTTTCTCCTGTGGCGAAAATGACTTCTGATCGTCTCTTTATTACTATGCCAGCCATTCATCACTGGCCTATGTATCAGCTGGACATAAAGAATGCTTTCCTCCATGTTGATTTGCGGAAAGAAGTTTATATGGAGCAACCTCCTGGGTTTGTTACTCAGGGGGGCTCTAACCTAATTTTTCGTCTCCGCAAATCCTTGTATAGTCTCAAGCAGTCTCCCCGGGCTTGGTTTGGAAGGTTTAGCACTGTTGTACAGCAATTTGGCATGACTCGGAGTGATGCTGATCACTCAGTCTTTTATAGACACTCTGATTCAGGTTCTATTTATTTGGTGGTATATGTTGATGATATTGTCATTACAGGTAATGATAATCATGGCATAACTCAGATAAAACAACATCTTTGCCATCATTTTCAAACAAAGGACCTTGGAAGACTCTAATATTTCTTAGGGATAAAAGTGGCCCAATCCAAAGATGGCATTGTACTGTCACAGAGAAAATATGCTATGGATATTCTTGAGGAGACAACTCTGTTGAAAGCTAAGCCCGTTGATACTCCTATGGATCCAAATGTCAAGCTTTTGCCAAATCAGGGGAAGCTATTTTCAGATCCAGAAAGGTATAGAAGATTGGTTGGGAAACTGAACTATCTCACAGTTACTCGACCAGACATTTCCTTTGCAGTCAGTGTAGTAAGTCAGTTCTTGAATTCTCCTTGTGAAGATCACTGGAATGCAGTAATCCGTATCCTCAAGTACATCAAGACTGCTCCTGGCAAAGGTCTTCTCTATGAAAACAAAGGTCATACCAGAGTTGTGGGATACTCAGATGCTGATTGGGCAGGTTCTCCCATTGATAGAAGATCCACCTCTGGGTATTGTGTATTCGTTGGAGATAACTTGATTTCCTGGAGAAGTAAGAAACAAAGTGTAGTTGCTAGATCAAGTGCTGAAGCAGAATATCGCTTTATGGCCACAGCTACCTGTGAACTCATCTGGTTAAAACAACTACTGAAGGAACTCAAGTTTGGAAACACTGGCCCAACATCTCTCATTTGTGATAATCAAGCTGCTTTGCATATTGCTTCAAATCCGGTGTTTCATGAAAGGACTAAGCACATTGAGATAGATTGTCATTTCCTTAGAGAAAAGATTCTCTCGGGAGATATAGTCACTCGTTTTGTCAACTCAAATGATCAATTAGCTGATGTATTCACTAAGTCTTTGAGAGGACCTAGGATAGATCAGATATGTAACAAGCTTGGTGCATACGATCTATATGCTCCAGCTTGAGGGGGAGTGTTGTTGTAAATAGTGTCATAGAAGTCCCACATTGTGTATATGTCTTTATATTTCTTATTTGGTTTAATATATATAAATGAAATCTCTTCGTGTAGTTGACACAAAGATTACAATGAATACCTCTTGTATCTTGATAATTAACAAAGACAAAATTGAAGCCAGCCCAAATGTCAAATGACACATGATGAAATTTTTACCACATATGTCAGTGTTAGTAGTTTATGGCCATACTTCGTACTAATAATTCCTGAATCTTTAATTAGTTACTAACAATAACAAGAAATACAGGAACATATGACATAGTTTCAAATATAAAAGTAATACCTTCTGAATGGCTTTCCAAGCAGCGTCCTCTCTCCTATGAGGTTTGGGCTGAACCAGTTTTGAATGATTTATCCATAGATCTTCAGGTTTCTGAAGGTAGCCAAAAGGTCATGTAACAAATTGAATTCAAATGCTTTTCAGACGATAAAGATAATCAGGAGACATTACCGAATTGGCATCTGGAAGTTCTCTCACTGCATCATCAATATTTTCTGCAGTCTCTTTTACCTGAGGATGGATGTCAAATAAACTTGTTACAACTTGAAAAATACAAAGCATAATAAATTGATCAAAGTTTCCAACTGTTACAGATAATACCAACAAATTTTATATCCAAAACTTTCTGTTTGGTCATAATAGAGGCAAAATAGTTTGAAACTCAAGAAAAAGCGCGATTTCAATGTAAGATAAGGGTTTAACTTTTCAGCATTTACTACAGAAAAGTTGTCTGCTATACACTATGTACTCCGGGGAATACATAGTGTAACTTTTGAAATCTAAATAAAAATAGAGTTCATTTCAAAAGTTACACTATATACTCCCTACATAGTGTGTGGCAGATAAATTTTTTTGGCGGAAATGTTTTTCCTAAATGAAGCACTTGAATAGAAACCAGACCAATTTTTCTCCCTCCTTTGCAGTATTTTCTGCAATGCGGTTGTGAAGAGGCTCCACATGTTGACTACCATCCAGTTGAACTCCAATAAAATATTGTACTTCTCCCTGTTAAACAATTAAAGAAGGAAAAGAGAAACAAGTTAACCTTTGTTTCTTTTCAAAGTTTTGGTAAAGGAAATATAATTAACCACCATGAACAAAAGTCATATGCCAAGATATTAAATATACAACACCTTCAGAGGACTATCATAAACTTTACCTTCTGATCACGCATAGGTTGCAAATGAAACAGGTTCCAGAACTTTTTACCTGGATTGAGCAAAGAAATCTTCAATAGCAAGTGCAACATTTTCCTTTGCAGACTAAGAGAAGGATTCAGGATTTGAAAATAGGAATATATGTGAAAATATCATGAACTGTTTTTTATCTACTAGTACTCATACAGGTTTTTTGTGAAAATTTTTGGATATAACAGCATTTTTGTTTCTTTTTAACAAGGAAGCACGAATACTTCAAAATAGTAGTCGTATGAGTTTAGGCAAATCTTATGATTTTTGAACTTTTATACCAATGCAAATGGTTATACCATAATAATTACATAAGTTATAGCATTTTACTATGTCTACAATAGTAACTTCCAAGATATTGATTCTCTCTTTTGTGTTAATTTTATGGGTTTTATAAGAGTTATGTTGTAGGAAAAATGATTCTGTAATGTTATAGAGATTTGTTTTGCGTGCCGTAATTTTTTTTTTCTTTTTTCTTCAAAAAGTGTGGGCCTTACAAAATGTTGTGTGTGTAGAAAAGTTTGTTGTGTCATGTTAAATAACAAATGTAAACCCCTAATTTTATATTTTGTAGTTTGTACTATAGTCGTGTTATTTTATATAATTTTTAAAATTTGGCACATATCCGTGTCCGTGTTATATGGTATCCCTTATCTTATGCCATGTCCGCACTTTCTAATAAAAGAAAAAAGTTGGGTTATATTGACAAAATTTTTTTTTACAAATTTACAAATTACAGTATGTCTAACCAGTAAGACTCTACTCGAGTATATTACCGATCAGACATAATGTAGTTTGTAAATAAAAAATTTATAAATATAACTTTCTCTAAGGAAAAAATAGTGTGGCACTGAATATCCTGAAAACTTTTTAATCATTTAAACTTAATATTGCTATACGAATTATTCACATAATACTTACAAAATTCCAATCTAAAATAAATTAGCTTATTAACCTGGGTACCCTATTGAATGTTAAATAAGCTTACCACTCTTTGTATAATTAATGAGCTGCACAGTAACTTCTGTTTGGTTGTCAATAGCCTCTCTAATTTTTCGCACTGTTGCTGGATCAGTTTCAGGTCCTTGCAGAAACCTATATCACCAAATAGCATATAAATAAATACCACTGAATTTTGGCATTATACGAATTGAACACCTTCTAGATCATTTCAAGGTATTTCAATCTTTTCAAGTTTTGAGAAAGGAATTTAAATTCTTATTACTAGCTTTCATCTGGCACTAGTATAAACTTGTTGTGCAGTAATTTTAGAGTTTAGTTTCTATTTTGTTTTATATATATTCTTTGTGCGACAATTCAGGTAAAGGTGCATAGAAGCACCAATTTACATGATTCTATGTAATTTCATTTTCAGTTGGTATATATGAACCAAATTGTTTTGATATTCATTTTCGTAGTAATGATATATTAATTTAGGATTTGATATTTCTCGTATTGTAGAAAATAAAATTATCTTCTACATACATATAAAAGCATGTGGAGCCCATATGAAGAGAAGGGTGAAGAAAAAAAAAACATTGGCCCCGTATAATTTTATATATGTAAAAAATAAAACTATCTGAGATACATTAAATCCATTAAATTAAAGTTTACCTGCAATTTCTTCCCAAGATTTCTTCACGACTATACTCTGTAAGCTCTAAGAAGCTATCAGATGCAAAGATCTGTAAAAACAAATACAAACATTACCCTCTTACGTACAGAAATGCATTATTTTTGGTGCAACATAAATGATATAAAAAATCTTACAATGGGGTTGTCAGGTAGCCTTGGATCAGTAATGACAAAGTTCTTCTCGATACGTTCAAGAGTGGTAGCAAGATCAAGACCCTTTCTTTTTTCCCTCTTCAGTATCTTTTTATCAAAACTATCAGGCCTCTCATCATCATCACTAGTCTCAGAGCTATCCTCAACAGCTTGTTCATCATTGCAGCCTTCGTTACTGGACTGAATTTTCCTGATGAACCTGAAGCACAGAATTTAAAAAGGCAAAATTTATGAAATTAATAGGATTACATCAAATACAGATTCAATTACAAAGAAAAACATCTAGAGATTATGTCATGTCAGCTATCAACTCTCCCAAAAAAATTTAAGTTATTGAATAAAACACACGATTTTATCTATCACTATATATATAATATAAAGGGAATATTATATTTACAAACTTTTTGTTTACAAACTATACTATGTCTGATCAGTCATAAACTCTTGATTGAAGTCTGATTAATCATACTTAGATAGTTTGTAAGAAAAAAAGTTTATGAATATAACATTTTCCACTAATCAAACATAGTATAGTCTGTAAACAAAAAAGTTTAAAAATATAACTTTTATATATATATATATATATATATATATATTGTATCTAACATCTCAAGAAATAAATTTTTTTAAAAAAAAAAATGAAAGAAAGAAAACTATACCCCATGAAAGAACGGCGACGAGAATTTTTGTGTTTCTTTTCAGAAAGCTCAATGATTGGCTGCATTGAATTTCTGTCACCTGCATGTGATTTACGTCTAAATGAAGCAACACTCTCAGATTTTCTCCTTGATGAATTTTTTGCTTTGTCTTCAGAATCATCATCATCATCACATGCTGATTTTTTGATCAAGGGACGGTTTGCTGATTCACTCAATGCCCGTGGACGCCTCACGGCTTGTACCAACTCAGATACTGAAGTGTTTGCCTTCTCTTTCTGACGAGCTGCGCAATTTAATTAATTAATTAATTATATGTAAGCTTTTTAGTTTGGTTAAGAATGTAACCATAATTTCTTTCAACTTGCAACTTGTGCATAGCATTAGCATGGTTGGAATCTTCTACATCATTTGGGTGTATACCAATTGAATTGATCTCGATTTACTATATATCATGTTTACGACAACGGAATCATGCAGTCTAACATCAGATTCTAATTATAACTAACGTACAACGTTGGTTATGTTCAATAAGTCTTGTCCAAACTTGACCTTATATATTAGGATTTAAATTTTTTTTATTGGTATTATAAACCTATGGTCATATAGGTCTTACTCATAATAGCAAATATGAAACATGCAAAACGCTAATATATATATTTACGTTATTAATGTCTAAATTAGGCGTACCTAGGTGATTTATAACATTTATTAAATTATTAAAAAAATAGTTTGATATTAATTATTGTAAAAAAAAATTGAAAGTATGGTTGTAGTTTGACTTATATTTAGAAATGTAAAATGTTTGTAAAATGATCTTAACTCACTTGAATATTTGCTTTCAAAATCTTATATATGTAGAAGGTTCAATATTCTTAATGATATATTCCTGTCTTATTTTCTTTCTCTCGTCGTGTTTCATAAGGCCCTAATTAATTAGAAAAGATCCCTTAAATACTTTTCCAGTGGTACAGTTTTTCTTATGCCTTAGCAGGGTGTAGTATTTTATATGTATATATATAATTTTGAAACTTTTGTAGGTATAAATTATAAATATATTACTATTAATTTATTACTACTTCATTTTCGATTTTTTTTAAATACATGAAGGGCACAAAACACACACACACAAAAAAAACCTAATAAATCAAAGAAACAAAGAAAAACAAGAAACATCATCCAGGTAAAATATCGCAGATGTTGCAAGGTTCCGTACCTGTCCAAAGTAATGTACCCTTAATATACGTGGATTCATTAGCGTTGTCATAGTTCTATTGACTCCATGCAAAGAGTACACCCGCTAAAGTCAAATGTTTTCCTTGATGTAACAAAATAATAACGCAGGGGTAACACTTCACCTAAGGTATACATATATTATAGTATTAACTAATTAATTAATCTCTTATTTGCATGTGATCTTAACTACAAATTTGTTGATTATTTTTCTAATTTAATGATTTAAAAATAATGTAAAATTAGTGAAAGACACGTCGAATACATACCATCATATCGAATCAAGGATTCGGGCAATCCATTGGGACGTATCATCTTTTCCTTGGACCCCTCCGTATGCTTGCTAACCTCCACTTGCATTCTGCCACATTTCCATACAAAGAAATAATCATAAATATATTGTGTTTCCTACTGTTCCGTTCCATTACATCAATTAAGACCCGCGTGCAACCAATGCCTTTTTTAATTATTTGTTTGTCAACCTAAAGCAATCAATAGCAAGAGGAGGAATATTCTTACTACCAAAATTTTCTACTACCAATTCACTATCTATCTAATTACTATTGAATCAATATCTTCTCTTTTTTCAAAAACTTTTTAGCATTTTCTCTTTGATTCAATGATAATTAGATAGATAGTAAGTTAGTAGTACAAAATTTTGATAGTAAAAATATCGTCCCTCCAACACCAATATATGAATAATGTGGCCTGAATAACTGTGACAGAGATATAAAGAGGTCCATTTAACAAAAATATTTATTTAAGAAAAAACATATATTATCAACAACCTCATAGGCTCGACAATGGGATCCTTATAGTTATTCCAAGTCCAGTTAATATTTCTTTTTCTACTTCCCATATCATATTTGGCATGAAAGACAATTTTCCTCCTTATGTTCTTAAAAAAATTTATAGCCTTTCGAGTGTAAAAAAAATAAGAAATGAAAATTTCTGGGCTGATTGACCATTTCATTCATATTCTGATTTTTTTTTATCATTTTATTTCTTTTTCTAACTTATATATCAATATACTTTTCTTTTCAAATTATATATCAATTTGATCCTCTTTGGTTAAATTTTGACCAAACTATAACCATTAACAAATTGTTTATTCGATTAAATGTTAGTTAGATTTTGATTAAATAAGGGTATACTGATATATAATTTAAGAAAAAAGGAAAATTGTTTACCGAAAAAAAAAAGGAAAATTAATATAAAGATTAGGAATAAGGGTAAAATGAAAAAATAAAATAAAATAAAATGGTCACTCTAGCCAAGTGCCCACCCATAAAAGAAAAGATACATAGATGTTTGGGATAATTATATTCATCATCACATTTCAAGTGTAGTAAAATAATAGGAACTTATCTCTTGATTTTAACTATTATTATTGACTATGTGTTTTTTTGTGTCACATCAACTTTTGAATATAATTAATAATAATAACCCAACATTTAAATAGTAAGAGAATCAATTTTGAATGGAAATAATGGACATAATAACAGAGCGCTATTTGGCAGTTTCTAAATCCAAAGAAAACGAAATTACAGAGCAGTCATAATCATAATGGAGGTTGAAAATGAAGTTAATCCCACTCATCCCCCTTCTTATCTTAGAATTTGCATACGACACTTGTTTAATACAATGACCAAATCAACAAAGAGTCAATTCCATGTCATTACAATATAAGGTCCCAAGTCCCAACCACACTATCAAATCAAAACAAGGACAACAATAACACCAAAAATGAACTATGCTAGATTCAATTATTAATGTAGCACCAAAGAGAAACTATTAAAAAAGAAAAACTATGGTTAACATACATACCCGATAAATTTGAGTACTTTGCCATCGTCGTCCTTAATGGGTGCAATAGTGAGAAGGTTCCAAAAGGGTGTCCCATCCTTCTTGTAATTCAGTAACCTTCCACAGTAAGTAATCCCTGTTTGCAGCGCTTCCCTTATCTTTGCCACGTCATCAGGACCCGTATCCGCTCCCTGTAAAAACCGACTGTACCCGACCCGACTCATAATCATAATCCGTTATTACCGTTTTCTATACAGTTATTACAGTTAAAAGACCTTGCGTTACAGTTAAAATATCCTTACAACCTAAAAAATTTACAATCTATTATCATCAAATTTTAACCATTGATTTTCGTCATTCTAACATTTATAATTTATAGAGAATTACTAATTAATTAATAAGTATGACCCAATAAATTATAACCGCTAGATTGACAGAAATCAACGTTTAAGATTTGATATAATAGATTATAAAACTTATCTACACTGACCCCAAAACCATGTTGTTTTGAATTAATGAAGGGTGTTTCCGTAATTTTGTTTATTTTTTTATGATACGAATTCTACCCAAACCCCCCTCATTAATTCCCTAAAATTATGAAAATATCATTCATTAATTCAAAACGACATAATTTTAAGGGTCACTGTATATAAGTTATATTGGGTGATTGGAGAAATATTTTACCCTTAATTAAATTAAATGAATATTGAAAAAGTTTATTGTTTCTCATGTTATAAGAGATAAATTTATTTCCTAAGTACACATAAAAGTGGGTGAAATTCATATTTTTTCTTTATTTCTCATCTCTTCACATGTGTCTAATACACTTTTATATATTTATAGATAAAATTTATCTCCTGCAATATGATAAATATTAATCCTATAATAAAATAAATTAAAATATTAGTGTACCAGTTCCTCCCTATGACCTCCTTGGATGTATAACCCGTCATCTTAAAGAACCCGGCACTGGCATACATAATCGGGTAATCGGGTTTGGTAGCATCCGAAACGACGAAAGTTTGTTGAAACGCCGATAAAGCGTCCCTCAAGTCCTCCGAAACCCTAGGTATTCCCCGGGATTCCATGCCGCCTTCGTCGGAGAATTCGCCGGAGCTCCTCACGGAGTTGTTCGAGTCCCTCCTCGAACAGCCGGCGACCTTCGCGCTCGGCTCAGAACCGCCGGAGTTCCGAACCACCACTCCCTGCGTCTTTCCGGTCTCCGTATCCTTTTTCAGCACCAAACCCCACTCCGCAGCTCTCTGAGCCGCCGCGTCGGATTCTCCCTCCGCCGGCACAGGATCGCCGAGGACGGCTGCGAGTTTCGGCGGCGACCTTGGAATGGGATCCTTGAGGGCCATCCAGGAGGTGTTGGTGATTTCATCGGAAGGAATGGAGTCGCCGGCGATTGGTTCCATCCATGTCTTCCACGAGGAATTGGAACGCAACGGCGAGTTGACTGTTTTCTCGGTGGTGGAGTTGGAGGAAGAAGGGTTGAACACTTCGAGCGAGCCACGAGGGTCTCTTGTAAATTGCTCCATCACCCTCACTCTCTGTTGAATTCATATATATACACATATGTTAATGTCAATTAATGATTAGTAATAATAAGACTCTGCATGTGTTTCTGAAACTTGTTAATGTGTACTTCAGAACTAACATTTTTAGCTATCATGATTAATATATGTTGTTATCCAAAGTATTAACCCAGGCTTGCCCTTATATGTTGTAGGGTAGTGTTTGTAATTGGAATGACATTGAACTGTGATACAGTGAATGATGAGTTGTCTGGGGGTGTATTTCGTCATTTCAATTTTGTTCATTCACTTAATCATGAGCACCTCACAGTGTTTAAGGATAGGATTAAAAGGAGTTGAGGAGGTAGACATCAATGATTATGTCAGAACTGAGACTAAGACAATGTCTAGGTTGTTTGCTGATTATGTCAGAACTAGGAAACCATACTGTCTGTTATAATTATTGATGGAAGCTCTGCTTAGGGAAGAATCCTTCTTATGGTAGCGTCTGTTATAATTATTGATGGAAGCTCTGCTTAGGGAAGAATCCTTCTTATGGTAGCGTAGAACAGAATTGAAAGAAAATATTTCAATCTAAACTTGCATGCTTTATAAACTGTTGGGGTATAAACTGACGTAGTACAAGGACAGTTGGAGAAGTATAAGAAAAGTTCAAACGTGAATTACTACAAAAAGAATCAGGTTGGATAGAGTAGATGTATATGATTGACAATATGCTAGAGTATAATGCATGACCAGACTAGGAAATACCTCAAGTTGAGCTGTGCTGGAATCAGGAATCCTAAAATTGGAAACTGGTTGGGGCTGATCAATTTGATGGGTTGTGTACTTGTGTTGTATTCTAATTTGTAGAAACAGCTTTTAATGACAGGAGGAGTAAAAGTGGAAGAAAAATATATAGGGAAAAAAAATCTGAATCATTGTGGAAGAGGATTGGGTTCCCATCCCTGTGTAGCCAAACTTCACATGGCTCTTGCACTCATTCCAATAATTTTATAACTAAAACCCTCTTCACTGAGTTCACTCTCAAATCCTACAACATTTGAGACATCAAAACTTCACTCTGTGTTCAGGAACTAAACAGTTTTTTTTCTTTTTGGCTTTTTAACATCTTAAAAGTCTTACCTTCAATGATTTCTGGTCCCAGTAATTGACAGTCTGGCAATGGGTTGTCAAGCAAGAAAAGCAACATGAGCAGAGAACGTGTACATCTTCTTAATCTTTAGGCACGTTGATCTCTGCAGGCTGTACCCTCAAGGTTGTTCCCAGGATAACACTGTTTCTGTTTCTATGTCTGAGATGGTGGACTTATTGCAGAGGACAAGAGCAAAATCAGACAACAAAAAATGGAATATATGTACTCATTTTTGGGTCTGGAAATAAAAAGAAAGAATATTAATACACCCACTATCTTTCATAAGAGAAATTATTGCTTAACTAAGAATAACAGGACCTTGCAGAAAGGCATGGTCATAAAGATAGGCTTGGGAAGTGGACACGTGAGACCATGTTGGCAGATGCGAGATGATACACGACCACAAATAATACTGAAGATCAGTATAAGTGGATAATTTTCCCATAAAGTTGGCTGGAAACGATGATTGATGTAGCTGCTTGCCAGTTCTAAAATGACTGGAAGCAAAGTGGTTCTTTGATCAACTTGTTCAATTTCGTGATGTGAATGATCGACAAGGTTACCTAGGATAAGTTATGGCTCAAATATCAATCATTCACAAATAACTTGGAATATTGCAAGAACAAAATATATTGAAACTCACTTGGCGCGTTTGGTACAAGAGATATTTTTTATATGAAAAAAAAAAGATTTTTGGAGATTTGATAGGAATTTTTTTATCACGGATAAGTTATGAAAAAGCGTTTGGTTGGATAAACTTTTGTCGAGAAAGTTTGATTAATTTTACTTATGCTATATTTGATTGATGGTAAAATATTGATGGAAATGTGAATCGAAATTACTAAAATACCCTAAATCTCTTTACATATGCGGTAATATATCATGAAGGTGTTTTTGACTCAAGAGACTATATTCAGAATCCAAGACTATGGAAAAAAAAAAAAAACCATGGGCTGAGTGGGATAATTTTTTACTTTTGTGAGAAAAAAATTGCTGACATTTTGTTTATAATACCCGTATCAAATATGATAAATAAATATTTTCCATCCCATTTTCTTCATCTTAAGGAAATAAAATTTTCCCAACACTTATTTTCTTCATTCAAGACTCAAACCATATATATATATAATTAAGTTTAAATTAAGTCAACTTTGCAATGTTATTATCTATGATGGTTGGATACCAAATGATGATAGGTCAGTTGATACATTGGAACTGAGCAGTTGGATGTGAGAGTATGTGTTTGATCCTTCCCAGTATCATCTTTGGAAGGAATTTAAAGTCTTAATTCGAAATCTGCTCCAAACAGAATTGCCTCCCATAAATAATATCAATAATTTATTCATAATGGTTGGATGAGAAGAGATTTGAACATTGTCATAAATTTCAACGATAGGAACAACTCTGAAATATGTTAAAACAAATTCTCTTCAAATTAAAATTTTATTTGTAATGTAGGACTAAGCATTGGTGATTTGGTGGGATTTGTCGGGTGAAGATGACGAATAATAAGTCATACCATAAACCCGCAGTTATAAAATTGCCAAAAGTTTTACAGTTGAACAACAAATTGAAAAAAGGTTATATGGATATTGTGGCAAAACAAGTTTGCGCGGTTGAACTCTATTTTAGGCAAAAAGATGGTGCAAACTAATATCAAGCTATCAAGAGTTAGTGTTGGGGCTGAAATTACTGTTTGAGCAGAAGTCGAAGCTGACGTTTGGGCATAAATTATCAAATTAATTCTCCATTTATGAAAGTTAATTTTAAAGTTGTGTCATTAATAATATTTTAACTATATTAAAAGGAGAGGGGTATATTTACAAACTTTTTGTTTACAAGCTACACTATGTTCTCGTGGGAGAATACTAGGTTACACTGTGTTCTCCCGGAAGTGCATAGTGTAATTTGCAAAAATTTGTAAAAAAAATTTGTAAACGGATCCTTACCCATATTGAAATAATATTATGTTATGTACAATTTTTTTCTGCATATAAGTTATCTGCAGTAAACCCAATACAACGTCGTTTTGAGACAGAAATCATGGTGTTTTTATAATTTCAATTTATTTCAGGATTATTATAGTCTTTATAATTAAATATTTTAATATTTCAATTTCAAAACGACGTCGTTTTGAAAATAAATGCAGATAACTTATCTGCAGAAATATTTTTCAGTTTTTTTTTTATCAAAATTAAGCTCTATTAAGAAAGCTCTACCTCACACAAGTACAATAAAAAAAATTAATCACCCACTTCAATAACAACCAAACAAAATAAAACTACACACTATTACGATGCTTATATTTAAAACTACCAAAAATTACTCACTAACATATTCTTAATATTTTCTTCATCTTAAAAGTTACTCTTCTCCTCAAGAGTAATATCAAGTAATTGAATAATTTTCGATATCTATATTTGCCTCTCCATTACTATTGATTGGAAAAGATCATTTAGCAATGACCATTTCTTTCCTCTTCTCAAAAAATTTAGAAGTAAAACTCTCTTTCGGTATCTCATATGTCATATCTGAACCAAATCTTGGTCAGGGAGCTTTCTGAGGAGTGTTTGATTGAGACACTTTGATCAAGTTCAATTTGTCAATAACAATGGTAGGGCTAGGGAAGTTTGACGTCAGAATTATTCGTGCCTAACTTGAGACACTTTGATCAAGTTCCATGATCTTTGGTGCCTCATATGCTTGAATTGATCGGACTGGATGGCAATTAGTTTCAGTTTCCCCACATGTTTCTCCATGTCTGGCTCTCTTATACGATACCAAGTTGTTACGTATAGGAGTTTTTTTTTTTATGAAAATTGAGCTCCTTTTTAAGAAAATTCCATTTGAAGAAAACTTGACACAAGTTACACCAAAAAATTTCAGTGATACGTTTCGGTCAATGCAACTTGATCTTACTAGTTAAGCCTACTTTTATTGTCACTTTTATACAATTTGAAGAAATACTTTTATTTTCATGTGTTTGAAAAAATACTCACCGATTTTTTTTGTGTTGCATGACATGACATGAGAAAAATAAAATTATATAAAAATATGATTTTTGCAGAATTTGAAGAAATACTTAAAGATAAATTGCAAAAAATACCCACATAAAATCTCTAGCCCATTATTATTTGAAGAAATACTTAAAGATAAATTGCAAAAAATACCCACATAAAATCTCTAGCCCATTATTAATAACTAGTCTTTGACTAAATAAAAAAGTGAATAACTCGCAATATATATATATATATACGGGGAGAGATCATTTGACTCCAGAGTAAGACTTATAAATCTTACTCCTCATCCTAGCCGTTGATTTCCGTCCATTCAACGGTTATAGTTTAAGAAATTAAATTAATTAATTAATTTTTAATTACACCATAAATGACAACCGTTGATTTCCGTTCATCAACGGCTGAGATGAGGAGTAAGACTTAAAGTCTTACTTTGGAGTCAAAAGAACTCTCCCCTATATATATATATATATAAGAGTTAGAAGTCTTACACTCAATCTTGACCATTGATCCACTTGTATCCAATGGCTCACATTACTAAAAAATTTGAGCCCTTAGATATAAATGGGATCAGTGGATAAGATTAAGAGTGTAACTTACACTGGTGTAAAATGATCCTAACCCTATATATATATATATATATATATATATATATATATATATATATATATATATATATATTTTAACCCCAAAAATCACCAAATCACAGAAAAGAAAGAAAGAAAGCACATCCTGTGGAGAGAAAGAGAAAACACGAGAAATAAAGGTGGATTGAGATGAGACGGTGATGTACCAGTGACAAGTGAGTGTAACCTCAAATCAGATGGAGTCTGCTGATCAGGTCCCATAACCACGTGAACTGCTTTTTCGATACTTGAAGCGCTTTTGTCCTTGCTTTACATCGCTTTCCGATTTTACTAGCTCCCTCGAAATTAGAAATTTATAATTGGTATTAAACCATTTTTTAAAAAAAATAAATGCAATTCTCAAATGAAAAAAGTTAAGTCAAATAGATTTTTACAAAAAAAATTTATAAAAAAAAGTCAAAAATATAATTTTTTTAAAGTTATATTAGTTTATTTTTAATTTAAAATTTTAAATAATTTTTAAACTAAATTTTTTATATGATCATTAAATAAATTTTATTTATTTATTTTTTAGCTTTAGTTCAAATTATATTTACGATATTTTTTTCTTACAATTAAATTTTAATCTTTAATTTTCGTCAATCTAACGTTATAATTTATTAGATCATATTTATTAATTAATTAAATTTTAATAAATTATAACTTTCAGATTAACGAAAATTAATAATTAAAATTTAATTATAAGAAATTATAAGTAAATAAAAGTTATAAATATAATATTTTTTAGTTTAAAAATTAGCCTTTAGATTAAAATAACCATGGGCTCACGAGACAACGATCAAATTGTCACTGTTTACCTAAAATATTACCAGAACGTCATGTCCCATAATTTTTTATCAAAATGCCATGTCATCAGTCTCGCTACGCCACGTGACGAGTTAGAATTGACCAAGTGATAGTACCTCGTTGGCACGTAATTAGCTGCGCAATGCAACGAGTCCACGTGGGGCCACGTAACTAGCTGGGTTGGGGCGAAATTTATTTTATATTATTAAGAAAAGTATACAATCATATATGAATTTAATATAAAAAGTTTGAAGAGTTTTATTATAAAATTCAAGGTCAATTCATTTAACCCTTGCTCTACATTTTTTTATATTATTAAACTCTTCTATAATTGAATCTGTCCTAAAATTTAAAATAATTTCTTTTTCAATATATGTAATCAAAAAATTGGTCTTTTATTCAATTTCGAAGTCTGGTATTGATTATCTTCCATTTGACGATGGATGCGGGCTCTTTTTCTTTTCCAATATTTAGCTCAAAAAATTGAAACTCCTGTTTGTGTTTTGTTGTTGTCTTCTTTGACAATAATTTTTGTCACCTTCTTGATAATCAAGTGTGCCTGATTTAAAAAAAAATTCTTTAGCCCTAAAAGTTTACTATTTCCTTTGAAAAAACTACAATTTCAATCTCTGAAGTTGTGTTTGTTTAAATTGTTTTGAAAATTTCAATACAATTATTTAATTTTTTAATTCAAAATTAATTTTTTTTTCAGTCTAAAATTACATATATAAAAAAAAAAAAAATCTAAAAATCAGGGAGGGACGGTGGCCAACCCTAGCCCCCTCCCCTGGGTCCGTCTCTGAATTCCCTCGCAATCCTCTCAACCGGTACTTGTTGCTCTCGATAATTGGTCTTTTGGTAGCGACAAGATCTTTTATTCTAGTGCCACATGGCCCCTAATCAATTGCAAAAATAAGGTGCAAAAAGACAAGAGGTTTTAGAGTATATGCTTTTATATGTTGGGGTGTGCATTTTTCATTTAACATGACATAACAAATTTTTTTACACACATAATATTTTGTGGACCTACATTTTTTGAAGAAAAAAGAAAAAGAAAAAATTATGGCACGCAAAATGAATTTATATGACATTACACAATCACTTTTCCTACAACATAACTCTTATAAAACCCTTATATGTTATATAATATAATTATTTTACATGTGAAAAAATAATAATTATTCATAATAAATTAATGGTTATAATTTTATCATTTTTTATTTCAATATTTTTTCTCTTATCTCTTATTACTATTAATTTATCCATAAATAATCACAATTCTCTCATATGATATAAAATAACACATAAGATAATTCTTTTCCTAATAAATTAATCTACATTAAGCAAATGTTGATGGGATCCGGGGGTAGATAGTGAGTTTTTTATTTTTATTTTTGTTAGAATGGTTTAACATTAATATTCACTCTTAAAATGGTTAGTGGTCCCAACCTTTTTAACTTATTTAATGCCTACTTTGATTTCTTTGAAATTTTCAAATTTTGTTGATAGTAGATTAATTTATTTTGAAAAACAATTTTTTTTACAGTTTTTTAAAAGAACTTTTGAAAAAAAAAATCTGAATTTTTTTTTTTTCTAAACATGCTATAATACTACGACGAAAGGTTAATAGCCATTTTGTTTACATTTGGTTATCTTGTTCTCGAAAATTGGCCTTAAATCTTTTTCTTCAAAAAATAAAAAATGAGAAACCTTTGTAGCATGTAATGAAAGAAGAAACATTTTGCTGGGCTAGTTGCTACACTTGAATTTCAAAGCTCAAAAAACAATAAGAAAAAACCAATTATGATCGACCGACGTTTGGTACAAGGAAAAATTTTAGATTCCCATGAAATTGACATTGGTAATTTTATTTACCCATTTTTGTATAAAGATTGTTAAAATAAATCAGATTCCTAAGAAAATATTTTTTGGAAGCTTTTTGAACCAAAATGTTATCCTAGAATACCATCAGGAGGGTATATTATTGGATTCCCATAACATAGGGAAATTTCACATAGCTTTTTGATAATATTTTTGATAATATTTTGACTTACTAAACAGCTTTTTTATAATATTTCTGAAAAATTTATTTTTATACCATATTCTCGGGATTATGATTCACTGGCATAAAAAAAAAAATCTTTATCAAACGTCCCTAAATAAAAGGCAAAAATAAATAAATAATAAAAGAAGTACCTTTATAAATTCGTTGTGAGTCCATTCTATCAAAGGCTGGCCTGGTATGTTTAGATAATGGACCAGGTTCCTGGACCTGTTTAGATAGTAAGATGGTCCAATCATCTTACTATACATAGGTTTGGGATACACTTAATATCAGGTATGCAATTTTCAACCTTGCTTCCATATTAACCGCATTCAACTTCGCTTCGTGACATAACAAACTTCACTTAGAAGCACGAAAAACCAGAAGGAAGCAAAATAGTAATACCCTCGTTCTCTCTCCTTTAGGGTGATCCGAACAATTCTGAGTTTGAATGTCTTCCCACTAACACATTTCTCCATTCTGACACTTGGGAGCAGAAATAGTAAAGCAACAACCTGAAAGGAATTGAATACTCTGGAAAACAAATTATCTCAGCTTAACCGGAAGAACCAAATGTACTCTTCTTCCAACCAACGCATCATCACTTGGTTGATCCTAATCTTGATTTTAATATACGTACTCTACTCTTCCAATCTTCTCCTCTTAACCAATAAGAAGCGAGATTGTGCCACTTCCATGCATTTAGATACCGCCACCGAAGAACAACTTGAGATGAGTGGTAATCTATCTTCAACTACAGCTATCGTTGAAAGTACAGTTGCTGAAGAGAAAAAAATAAGAGAGGATGAAAAAGAAAAGGAGGAGGAGGAGGAAGCAGAAGAAGAAGAATTACCACTTGATCAGTTATCTCAACGACAGGACACGGAGCTCAAACACGTCGTTTTTGGGATAGCAGCTTCATCGAATTTGTGGGACATAAGAAAAGAATATATCAAGGTGTGGTGGAAGCCTAATCAAACCAGAGGGGTAGTGTGGTTGGATAAAAAAGTGAGCACTGCAGCAAGTGAGGGCTTACCACAGATTCGAATTTCTGGGGACACCACAAAATTTAAGTATTCGAATCGTCAGGGGCAGAGATCTGCTTTGAGGATTTCGAGGGTAGTAACAGAGACATTGAAGCTTGGGATGGAGGATGTGAGATGGTTCATGATGGGAGATGATGACACAGTGTTTATGGTGGATAATGTGGTTAGAGTTCTTTCCAAGTACGACCACACTCAGTTCTATTATGTTGGGAGCTCATCCGAGAGCCATGTTCAGAACATACATTTCTCGTATGCCATGGCATATGGTGGGGGAGGATTCGCTATAAGCTACCCGTTGGCTAAGGAGCTCGCAAAGATGCAGGATCGTTGCATGCAGCGTTACCCTGCTTTATATGGCAGTGATGATAGAATGCAAGCTTGCATGGCTGAGCTAGGGGTGCCATTAACCAAGGAACGTGGGTTTCACCAGGTAATTAACACTACTATATACTAGGCTCCCTGAACCTTGATGTGTCAAATAATAATGTAATTACTAGGAATGCTTGTGACTTTGATTCTCTATAATTTATTAGAAGGAATTCAAATTTGCATATATATTATATCTTTCTTGCTTATGCAGTATGATGTGTATGGGGACCTATTAGGCCTTCTGGGAGCACATCCTGTGACCCCACTAGTGACATTGCACCACCTTGATGTAGTGCAACCGATATTCCCAAAGATGAATCGAGTACAATCCCTGAGGCACCTAATGAAATCCGTCAAGCAAGACTCTGGCAGCATTATGCAACAATCAATATGCTACGACAAAAAGAGATATTGGTCCATCACTGTTTCATGGGGCTATGTGGTTCAAGTTCTGAGGGGAGTATTGTCCCCTAGAGAGTTAGAGATGCCGACGCGGACCTTTCTCAATTGGTATAGAAGAGCTGATTACACTGCGTACGCATTCAACACAAGGCCTGTAACTAAACACCCGTGTCAGAAAGCGTTCCTTTACTATATGAACAACACTAGATATGATCCAGCCAAGAAGCAAATTATCGGTACTTATTCCCGTTACAAGTCTAAACCTCCTTACTGCCGGTGGAAAATGGACTCACCAGAGGAAATCAATACTATCATAGTTTCAAAAAGACCAGACCCTTTACGATGGCAAAGGGTAGGGATGCTCCGAAAAACTCACTCATACATGCATAATATATAATGAGATATGTACTTTACTAGTTTGTCAACATTGAAATGGATCCTTTTACTGACTTGAATTATAAACTTGTTTTTGTAGTCACCAAGGAGGGACTGTTGTAAAGTTCAACCATCACGTAAGGGATCAACAATGTACATATGGGTGGGCAATTGTCGAGAGGGAGAGGTTAGTGAATTGATTCTTTAAGGTGGAAATTAAGCTTCCAAATTCCAATTATTTGTTCTAATTTATTGGCAGTAGTTGCATCAGAAAGTCCACAGAACACAAATAGAACTACTGTCATTGATCATAATGTCACAAGCTAAAAGTTTTGCCATCTTCTACAGTTTTTTTCCCTCACTTTTCCTGTATGTAAAGTCAACAAAGCATATAAGAAGTTCTTAGTTGTGTTGGAATGCATTCTATGTAAGAAGGTCATTATTCTTCCCCAATGTGAAGAAGGAGACTAAATTGCCATACTTACAATGAAGCACAGGTTCAGATGATATATCTATTCTTTGTCATCTAATGAGCGTTTGAAATTTATCTGAAGAGAAAAAACCTCTTCAATCCTTCGAAGAAAATGGCTCTTCAATTAGGAGAACTAGCCGGATGCAAGTAATTTTCGTCCTCACCTAAAAGATTTTGAGGAATTGAAGGAATTGGTGATGATGCAGCAACTGCCAGTATGGTAAGATCTATACGAGTGTCGTTAGGCTGTGGTGTATCAATCTGTCGTATGGCTGTAATCCTACCATCCTTGATTTCCACATCCACTGTTTTCAAAAGATCAAAAGTTTTTTTAATCAACAAATTGAAGGTTATTCAATTCTTAATGAACGATTATTAATTTCACTTAAACTTCACCTTTTGCTCTTTCTCTTGCTCTTTATCTTATTTTTTATTTTTATTTTTTGTGTGTTAGTCTATCGATCACAAATCTGAACCTCATATAGCTTAGCTAAAATCTTGAACACAAGAACGTCGCTAATAAGCAAGCATAAGAAAGTAAAAATCATAATAAAAACAAATGAATGCATATGAAATACGAGATTAAAGAGAAATTAAAGTTAGGTTGAGTTGAATTTTGGTGAAAACGGTACCTGGATAAGAGAACCACCAGAGAGTAAAGAGGCATAGCACCACAAGCACAGGGATTGCGTGAATCCATTTCTCTGCCGCACACGATCGTGACCGTGAAAAGTCCCTACTTCCGGTGGCGCTCCGGTTATGGTAAAGCGGAAGGCCTTCGAACAGATCGTCGTCGAGGTTCCTTCTTCGCTTTGTATGTTTCTGCTGATCTGCACCAATGTTAATGGCTCTGTGCTCGTCGCCTGAACAGCGCGAGCTTGAGCTTGAAGATCTCTGCTGCATTTTGGACGCAGAGAGAGAGAAAGTGAGAGAAGAAGAAGGAATGGATGTTCCGGTGCGATTCAGAGGAAACTCTGTCAAGTAGTTCGGTGGTGGATGCTCACGATTTGTGCCCTGGTTTGGTTCGTTAGGCTCGTCGTAACAACTTTTGGGCGGGAAAGTGTTTGCTCGTGCCACGCACGTGCTTTATGCTCACAATGTTACACCATTCAACAAGTTGGGTTATTGTTATTGTCTTTAATTGTGAACAATTTATTTAGTTTTTGAAATCGTCAAAGCACTAGTATAATAATAGTTGTTATGGAATATATTCATATCTTAACTAAATATACTCATATCCCTTGATAGATAATATGACATAATTATCTTAATAGTATAAAACAATAAAGATAAGGAGAGATAGCCCTTATCCCAATAAATAAGAGATTAAATTCTATACCAACCGGGAGATCTGCACAGCTCAAGCTCAAAAGGTAATCCCTATAAATAAAAGGCTAAAGACTTCTAGGTACACACTCTGAACTTATTTACTACTACTATCAACACTGTGCACACACTCACATCTCAATTATAAGCATGTTGTTTGTGCGCAGTGATTGAGATATTGATTATAAGCCAACCAAAATATTTGTCTTTAAGATATCTCTAAGTGCATATCCTACGGGTTCTCTAGAACCGAACAATATTTATCAATATTCTAACTCAAATATTAAAATGATTAGACACTGATTAAAAAGTTTGACATAGACCGTGTAAAATGATGTCTTGTAAGATTTTCTTTCTTTTTTTCCTTCAAAAAGGTGTATCTAATAACATCTCAACATACATGGCTTTATGGATCATTTCTTAGCTTTTTTTTTTTTAATATTTTACTTACTCCAAGCATGTAAAACTAAGTTTATTATGTTTAATACAGTTATGCATTGTATAATGACCTTTTAAAAGTAAATTTTTGAATGATTAAATTTTTAAACTGAAAAAATATCATAATTGCATACATTTTAGGTTTATGAAAATATAATCCTCTCAATTTTTTTGACGCCGAGGTAAGAGCAACTAGAACTGGGAGATTGAATAATTCATTGTCCTTTATAAGCTGTCCTCTCTTTGATTAACACGTCTTAATTTTCAAGTTGAGTTTTCTAATAATTTTGCAGTATTTAAGTGGTTATTTTGCAGTTTTGGGATGGGCTCTCTCAAATGGTGGGTAATGAAATTGAGCAAAGATCATGACAAAAGAAGTCATTTATTATACAACTGAAGATGAATTCTAACCAATGGTAAAAGAGATCCTACAAAGAGGCATCTTAAAAAACATAAAAAGGTAGCTCACATGTACACCAATTGGGATACCAAAAGTAGTATGAAATTTTCCTTAATGTGAAACCACTTGCATTTGAAAAAGCACCTGTTATCTCCTATGAAACAAAATTTGATAACTAGGCACATTACACAAGAACATCACTAAAAGTAACATTCTACTTTGCTAGTTTACAGATCTATCTGTCTCATGCTCATTACTAAAAATATGTCTATGATCATCATCTCTTTTCACTCTGGGAGAAGGTGGACTTTTTCTAGAGCTTTGTACTGGATGAACTTGGGGATCATACTTCTGAGAAGCAAGGTAATTTAGAGCAGTTACCACATCAACTATAACAGGCCGCATATTAGGCTGCTCTTGAACACACATTGCAGCAATAGCAAGAGCTTGGTATAAACCTCTCACCGGATATTGACCTTCAAGCAATGGGTCAACCATTTGTGAGAATTTTCTCCTGTCTCTGAATAACGGTCTTGCCTGTAAACAATTCACATGTAACATAAGGTAATAATTTCGGAAGTGATAAAATTTAGGTAACTTATGAAGTGGACAATAAATTGGCATCCTTCAAAACTGAGACATTTGTTCTTAATGTACTCAATGAAATAGAATGTGGTCTGTATGCCTTAAAAGAGAAATACGGATATTTATGAATGACTATGCTTTTTAGAGTGAGGAAATGACATTATTAAACAATGGAAACCAATAACTATTCTTAATAAGGAGCATTAATGCAGCATAGAAAATGAAAAGATGGAGTAACTACGTGCTACAGTCATCCAATTTTGATCAATTTTGAGCTTTCCAGTTACCTATAGTTCCAGTTTAGTAAGAACACAAAATAATCAAAAGAAGTTCATTTTGGGTATAAAATAGAAACACCCCACTTAAAGCAAATAAGGGCTAGATTCCTCACCAAGATGCATGACGGGCTAACCTAGGCAAAGGCACTGCTTTGCGAGGCATGGTATTTCTCCAGCTATTCCTCTGCTGGGACCATTTAGTACACTTTTCCAGTGGGATTAGCATTAAGGGGTATGGTATATTGGGCCCCAATGCTCCTTAAAGGGTTTGGGGTGTACTACAATCCCTTCTTACCCATTCTTTTACCAAAAGTCCAAAAAGGGGAAGGCATTGTATGCATAGTAGTAACAACTTTTATGCAACGGTTTAACTCTAAAAAATTTCAGTAAGCAATTTAAATGCACCATCTTATAAGATTAAAACTTTCAATTTTCTCATGCATGAGATCAAGATCTTGGGGGAAAATAAATCTGTATGATCAGACTCTTGTCTTGATAAATGTCATATGTGAGTTTTTTTGAAGTTTTTGAAAGGGAAAATGTATGAGCAGACAAATTAATCAGCTAGCTATTGAACTTCAGAGTGCCCCACAAGAAAATCAAAACAAAAGAGGCTGGTCTTTTAGCAATGGTTGAGAAGTGTCAGTGCACTTCCTACATATCCCAACTTCGATACTTTAACTAGCTTCCAACCTGAATGCAAAACCATAGAAACACAGAAGAAGGTAATACGAACTAATCCACGCTCAACCAAAAGTAACACCACAGATTTACAACTAATTACAGTTGTAACTCAAATTCTCAGCTACAACAATTTCACAAGGACAATTTCTACAAAAGCAAATCAATAAACACGGATTCCACAGTAAACATTAAAGACAGGTAAAGATTATTGACATACCCATGCAACTAGATTTTGTTCTTTGCCAGATTTTGTATGGTCAATAGCTTTTCTTCCAGTGATGAGCTCCAAAAGAACAACCCCAAAGCTGTAAATATCAGACTTGAATGTCAACTGACCCGTCATTGCATAATCTGGGGCGCAGTACCCATATGTTCCCATAACCCTTGTTGAAACATGGGTCTTATCACCACTTGGGCCTACTCTTGCCAAGCCAAAATCAGATAACTTGGGATAATATCCCTCGCCTAACAAAATGTTAGAGCATTTCAAGTCACGGTATATTACAGGAGGCTTCATTTTATCATGCAGATACTCCAAACCCTTAGCTGCACCAGCTGCTATTTTCATTCTTGTATTCCAATCAAGTGGTTTTCTACCAGGCGGAAGATCTAGGACAATGGGGGAGAGGAAATTAGATGAGCCGGTGTTAAAGAAAGCTGCTGACAGTATAATGATTCTATTCTATATGAAGAAAAAAAAATGAGATGATAGGAATTAGGATGATAGTATATACCAAGCAGGTGGTTCTCCAAAGATCCCAGTGGCATGTACTCATAAACCAATAGCCTCTGCTCTCCCTCAGCACAAAATCCAATCAATTTGACAAGATTAGGGTGGTCTGCCAAACTCAATGTCAACACTTCAACAGCAAATTCCCGAATTCCTTGAACTCCATTAGGGTCGAGTTGCTTTATAGCTACAACCTAAACAAACATTAGCAAATTTTAGTCTCACCAAATATCAAAAGAAACAATAAATTTGCAAACTAACATGATGCCACAACACATTGACAAGAACCGGATCAGGTTCAATTCATAAAAAATGTCAATTTTTTGCTCCCTTTTTTTCGTCTAACAAACCTGGTTTACTCTCTCCAAGTGACCCTTGTAAACCTTGCCAAAACCTCCTTCCCCCAAAAAGCAATCCAACCTAAAATTTCCTGTTGCTTCTGCAAGTTCATTAAAACTGAATGTCTGTGCCCGGTTACCATTATCTGTTCTATCCTCAGAAACCTCCTCATTCAAATTTGAATTCTTCACGTCCTGAGCAAGTTGATCACCCTTAGAATCATCTTCTTTTTTCCCATTCACTTTGAAATCAACTTTAGCCTTATCTTTAACACATACAAAATACACATAAGGCAATGGGGGAGAGATATTAAACCAAACAACACAGAAGAAATTACTTTAATCCGAGTTGACTACAAAACCAAAACAACTCCACGGGCTTAAAAGCAAACTAGTCACAAAATGACAAGAACAATTTTGGATTGTGGATCTAACCATTCCAACCATGCAGCCAACAAAAAGAATCAAGAATTTGAGTATGGCTAATTTTTAAGTTTAAGCCATAAAAAAATAGACAATCGATATTCAAAACTCATTCAATAATAAATATATTTTCCAGAAGAGAGAAACGCTTACGATATCAAAAACTGCCAGAAGAGGCGTTATCAGCCGAATACCAAAATCAATTGGGATACTGAAAACCAAACAAACAAAACAAAATTCAATTTTTTTTTTTTTTTTGTTTGCATATGCCTGAACGACAATTACTGGGAAACACACTTTCAAAAAGGAAAAAGAATCATTCAAATGAAACCATTAAGGCTCGATAATACACGATGACCCCACCCCAAAAAATATGAACTTTGATCAGTTTAGCACATACCCACCACCAGAAACTTTATATTAAAAAGGGAAAAAAAAAAATAGGGAAACATAATCAATCAAAATGATCACAGAGAATGGGTTAAAAAAATACAAGTTTTTTTTTTCTGTTAAAGTGAAATGCATTCCAAGACAGCATTCAAGTAAATAGAATCAAAACCATTGGGAAAATTTACCTGGAGCAGTGAGATTGGTGGGGTTCTGGGTGTGACTATAGTCTTTAGTTTTTGGGCAACAAAAGCAATCCATGTTCTGTCTCTATCTAAGCTACACCCAGAAAACAGAGACCCCAAACGTGAAGAAACTCAGGAAAATCAAAAAAAGAGTGTCACAAACTGTGTGTGTGTGTGTGTGAGAGAGAGAGAGAGAGAGTGCCTTCTGATGTTTTTGAGTATTCTTGGTGCTTTAATATATTCTGGGTCAATATGAGGTGGAAATGAATTGTAAACAAATGTTCCATAGTCACCAACAAGCCACGATAAAGACAAAGGAGGGAGGGGTGTTTACGTCATTTCGTAATACGAGAATATAATCAGCTGCATCGCCTTTACCATAAGCCTGTTTCGGTATTTCCCCTTCATCATAAAGCATCATTAACCACATTCAAACTCAAGATTTTTTATTTTTTATTTTTTATTTTTAAGACGTTCTAATCTTACTAAGTTAATCAACCCTTATTATGGTGTAACAGTAATGTGAGTATCGTTACCTCAATTCTAAAAAATTTAATGATTGTTATTATTTTCATAATCATTATGCTGTTTTGAACTTCACTAAATATATTAAAATAAAAAATTCTAACGATTAATCAGTATACTGTGATTTGAAAATATTTTGGGTACATTTTTTACCAAATATAAAAAAATAACATATTCATGTTATTTTTGTTTTTATAGTTATTTTTTTTATATCTTTTATTTTATTTTATTTTCATTTTAGAAAAGGGAATCCTTACTTTCTAAGTATTGAAAATATGCTCCTTTAATTTAATCAAACACTGCTTGGATGACGTGGCGTCCGTTGATTGGAGTTGGACAATTTTGTGCGAGCTGGTTCGCAACGGATCTTTGTCTTTCCAAGAACCCGCGGGTGACACACAAATCACGTTGATTAAACGCTCCAAACACACTGTCCGGTTCTCTCTCCCAAAAAAAAAATGTCAACGTCTTGAACAATTCAACCGGGGCCCACATGATGACGTAACAATGTGGGACCCATTTGTCTACGCGTATCGCACTGCTGGCGTTTCTAACTCTTGTTCCATCATTAAATAAAAAAAGAAGCTGTTTACACGGTGATCCACGCGTTCCTGTTCCGCCGCCGTAACGGAGCCGTAACCCTTGACGGCGACAGCAAGCCAACCAATCAGGGAGAGGTTCAATCTGGGGTTGGCAGCACTGGATTAGTGCTCCCGGCTAATTGTGTACCAATTTTGTATTTATAAATAGTAGGTGAAGTTTGGGTGAGTAGATATCAGCGTTATGAATTGACCTTGTTGGTTCTACGAATGCCATTTTGGTTTCGAACCATTAAATACACATTTAATAATGTTGCAACAAAAGGAGAAATTCTTAAGCATTATCAATAACAAATTTTAGCGAATGTTGCAATTGGTACATGCAAGCTGAATAGGTGGTAAAAGAATATTGGTGTGATCTATATCAATATTATCTTTGAGAGGCAAATAAATTTTTATCTCGAACTTACTCCACATTCGACATTAATAGTATAATTGATTCAAAAAATCAAAGCTTGCAAAAGGTTAATATCTAAAAAAATAAAAAATAAAATAGGCTCGATTACAAGTAAAAGTAATTATGCTTAATTCAATTGAAACATTTTAAATACTATTTTTTTAAAATACTATTATGTTTAATATTTTTTACTTGTTAATACTAAGATAAAAGTTTGAAAAATAATTAGTAAATTAAAAAAAAATTTAACATAATAAATAATATATTTTTTCTAACGAAATAACAAATGTATTAATTTATTTTATACCCTTTGATATACAGCACTTCAGTGCATTGTTGTTAAAATCTTGATTTATCACTACGATTTTATGTTTTTACGATTTTTTTTAATCAAAACGATTTTAATAATATTCCAAACGCTTTTACATTTTTATGATTTTTTACGATTTTTTTACTTTACGATTTTACGTTTTACGATTTTTTGAATCCCTTCCGATTTTACATAAGATCTCGATTTTAATAACATTGCCTCAGTGGTCCGTTTGTTTGTATTTTTTAAAAAATAATTAATAAAAGATCTTTTTAAAAAAGTTATGATGGTTAGATCAAATTTAAAAAATATTATTTTTTAAAAGAACAATAAAAAGAGTAGGTTCCGAAAAAGGATTATAAGATAAATATATGTTTTTTTAAAATATTCAAACATATTTCAATAATAAAAATATTTTTGAAGTTGAAAAGGAGATGAAAAATAGGTGAAAATTACATTATCTTGTTTGATTTTTTTTTCTCAAAAAAATGTTACCATAAAAAATAAAAATGGGAGAAACTGTACTTATAAATGGTTATCACTTAAAATTTGGGTTAAATTAATTCGTTACAAATACGGTATTTATGAATTTCATCTAAAGTGAAATTTATTAATGAGGGAACATGTGTGTATTTTGTAAGTTGCTCTGCATATCTCGTTAATAACATAAATATAAATAAGAGAGGGGAAAAAATGTTTTTAATTTGTAGTTTTATTTTTCTTGTTCCTTTATCATTTCCTTTTGGTAATGTTTACTTCTTCCTCCTTTTCCTCAATTTGTTTATAAACAAAATATGGATTAATCAGCAGGTTTAGTGATAGTTAACAATACCACTTCAACCACTAAGGCCAATCTCCTGGATCGAAAGATACTGTAATATGGAACATTTATACATCCAAAAATTAATGAAAATGCAAATTCACTATTTTTGTTCTTCTATCAAATTAATTCGAATTATCCATCATTTCCCATTACAAAAATCAAACAAAAATATAGAAGCATTTATATACTATATTTTGTTTACTTACGACATTATTGATCAAATTTACTTTTGTTGGTCAGCAATCGATAGCAGAACTCAAAGTGAGGATTGAATGGATATTTTTTTTATAATGACTTTAATTATTTTTTTGAGATGAATGGGCTCTCAGTATGCAATAAATTTCAAATTTTACGTCGGTTACGAGACTAATTTTTAATCGGGTCTTAGTCAAAAGATTATTATTATTATATTATTTGGTTAACGACGAATATAACACCATACAAGACAGATTTCCATACAAGAGTTATTGTTAGGCTCTAAAGCCAAAAAAAATTATTCGAATTTTCACTTATATTAACTATTTATTAAAGCTAAGTCCCTTGCGAGATAATTTTTGGTAAAAATATCAGTAGAGTAATATATATATATATATATATATCAACTAGTGTGAGAAAGTATTACGGATTCGATTAATTTGATTTCGAGTTTTAGTCTTTTCACCCATCTCAAAGATTGTGACTCTCAAGAATCAAACCCATAAATAAATATTTCTAATATACGAACAAAATAAATAAATTTCAATGAAATACATAGTTAACAATATTTGATTATGAAAAATAGAAGAAAAAATACATTTTAGGCAACGTTGTTAATTTTTAAAGGATTTTTTAAATAGAATAGGTATGTATTTTTTTATCCAAATCTTAATTCGATCATTATTAAACTCCTATGGAAGCTCAACTTCATTTTATCTATTCCAAACTTGAATTTGATATTTTTATTAAAAAATAAACTATTAATATAAAACGTGAAAGAAAAAGACAAGCAAGCCAGATGTAGTGACTTAAACCAAATGAAGGAAGAAAGACAAAAGAATGTATCATGCCGAATATGAAAGCGAATTAAAAAAACATAAATTGCTGTTTCATTTTAACCTGAGAGGTAGTGATTAGTGAATGTTGGGTAATACATTTGTGTTTGATATTTGAAGTGTACAAGTGTCAATCACGTAACATTAAATTATACTTGGTCGGCGCACCAAAACAGTACACAACGAGCAATCTAGAAAGTCCCAATATGTGTCAGACATTAGCTATGTCTATAAATTAAATGTGGTGACAACAATATATATAAGATTTGGCTTTGGCTACGATGGGGAAAAAAAAAATAATAATAATAAGGGAAGGTTTCTGTCCACATAATACATTTTATAAGGACAACAAAGCATATCATATTACTTGATATTATGAGCTTCTTCTTATTTTTTAAATTATCATAAAAAATAATGAGTAAAATATGATTTTTTGAAAGAGACACTTGGAATAGAAAGTTAGTTGATTTGGTACGCATTCAACCGTTTTTTCAAAGATTGCGTCGTTATTTTGTGCATAATCGATGCTAAAAGACATACAATATTGCAAGATTCGTACACATGTCACTAAATTTAAGGCAAAGTGTTTTTAAATTTAAATTAATGATGAGGAATATATGAGTAACAAAATGAAAAGATAATGGCATCACTTTGAATAGAGCATGATAAGCTTTCTTTTAATCTTTCTTAGACTTTAATATATTTATAGGTTATGGACGGCCTTATCATGGAAATAGATATGCACAAACATATAGAGAGAGAGAAAGGGAGGTAAAAAGTAAGAGCACAAGATTGTGAAAAAAATAGTTTTAATCATCTATATGTATGATTATAAAATAAAATTCTCTCATATTATATGCGCGCGCGTTAATTTTTTAATGTTAAAATTTTACATAATTTTATATAAAAAATATGTACATGAGTCTCCTTTCATAAATATCTATAAATTTCAGTAAAATTTCATCTATTAATATATATATATATATATATATATATATATATATATATGGGTAAACATTTTTACAGCCACTTTAGATAAGGTTATTTACAACTACTCCAAAAACTACGTCGTTTTGATTAATGAATGGTGTTTATGTAATTTTAGGTAAATTAATGAAGGGTGCTTCCGTACTTTTATTTTTTTTTTATCATATGCATTTTACTGGAACATCCTTCATTAATTCACCTAAAATTACAGAAACACCCTTCATTAATCAAAACGACGTAGTTTTTGGGGTAGCTGTAGATAACCTTATCTAAAGTGACTGTAGAAATATTTTTTCATATATATATATATATATATATATATGAAAATGAATATAAAAACTCATTTAACTATATCTTTTATAGTTATAACTAAATTTGTTCCTTTTGCTAATGAAAATTTGACTATTTTCATATTTTGTCAAGTACTTTTGTAAAATATATTTATAAAATATAAACAGAATTTTTAAAATTGATTTATAAATTAACATGATAGGCTTTTTCACCATCATCCACATAAGTAAACTTGTCTTTTCATGTTACAAGTTATAAAAAAATTTGTCGGTTGTCACATGATGTAACT